GACTGACGTCACTGGGGATTCCTAAGTAAGCGAGAGCAGAGAATAAAAAAACTAATAATAGCCGTACGTTTATTATGTTGTTTAATAACAAGCTATATTCCGCTTTGAAAAATGATTCTTGGTACTGCCACTAAATCATTAAAGAAATTTGGACAAAGATTTTTCGGATGAATGTTTTATAGAAAATAATAATAAACTATTTCACTGCTATAAATAATTAATTTAATTTTTTCAGTGATTTAGGGTTTTAAATTTATTTTTATAACTTGTAAACTTTGTTAGTGAATGAATGAATCATAATCACACATGATCAATCTTGAAGTAAATATGGACTGGTAAATACCTCTGGTTATACTTTTATTGTTTCTGAATAAGGATAAGCAACCGTTTTTGTCATAAAGTTCTTTTATGTTTTAACTAATTGGATAAATATACTCTGAAATCTGAAACAAATTAATTAAATTAAAATTTAAAAGTCAAATTAATAAAATTGCGTTTATCTCATCAAGGAAACTGAAATGAAAAACAATTTTGCTAACAAGAGAAAAAGTCAGTTGCAGACATTTTTTTAGACAAATAATCCAGTGATAACCCATATGCACGTCCCTGGTGATTATGTCGACAATTTTTTAGCATTAAAATATATAGCACTTTTCTTGTAGTAACTTTTACCTTCAAAATTTTATTCCTATCGCTAAAAGCACTTGGAAGAAATTTATAATAAATCGAATCAAAAATGAAGACTGATCCCCTGTACCTAGGAAACAAAGCAGAATCGGACTTATGTTGATATAAAAAATAAATCTTATTTTTACATGAGGAATATTCCAAAAAGAAATGTCACCTGCTTTTTGAAACACCCTGTATAAATAAACGATATATAGAATGTTCAGCCATCGTTCAACGTCGCGTCATATATTGTCGAACTATCTGAATCATTTACCAACCAGATTAAAGAGATTGGTGACGTCATTATGGCATTTCATAAATTACTGCATATTCTTTTTAGTAATTGTCATTATCATTTGATTTGAGGTTATAATTTTATTGACAAAGATCGATCAAAATTAAAAATGGATTATTACTATAAAACAAAATTCAAATGTTTTTATTGCAAAAATGCTTCAAAGATTTAACCAAAATGAACAAGAGCTCATTGTTAAGCTTATAAATAATTTTGGTAGAACACTCTTAGGCACGTGAACGCCTTATATGAAGTAACTACAATGCAAAGGTGTAATATTCCTATGTAAAAAACAAACTGATAGCGTTTATAAATAATTTAGCGAATTGCTGATACTTGAGAAATAGGAATTTCAACAGTCCAAAGGATTGGAATTAAAAGGATTGTAACTGATGAAGACTTGTCAAGAAGAAATGAATAAATGCCGAAAAAAGGGAACACGCTTTTTCAATAATACAGGAACGTACTTACAATTTTCTAAACAATATGAACTGATCTCAGACACACCCTAAAACTCATATTTGACAAATAATGATGACGTCACGGTAAACAATGGCTGAACAGTCTTTAGTAATAGAATTTTGAGGTGAGAATTTGAAAACAAATCCCTTACCCGTCTCTCTTTGGTAAATAAAGCCGCAAAACGAATATTTAGTGCCAATCAAATTAAATTGAAAATCGAATTGTAAGTTGGGGTTGATTAGAATAACGTCATTATAAATATGCACATTACAAATTCACTATACCACAATTAGAGGTAGCGTATATACAACGCAAATTATATGCAAATTCCTTGATATTAACCAGCTCCATTGTTTTGAATGATGATAAAATCTCTGTATAGATCTCTGTGTATGTGTTTAACGAACCATCTTTAACAATTTTACCAATGGTGGTTGATTTGGAGGGATACAATTGAATAAATAATAAATACAATAATAAAACTCTTTTTCTTCAACTTATTTTAAAACCAATTCAATGTCCTTAGTCTAAAGTAATTTCTTGTCTTCAGGTTTAACCACTTTTGTACATTAATTGTAAGTGATTCACCTAGAAAAAAAAATATGCGGATGTTATTTTTCTTGCATTCTTCTTAACCTTCCAGCAAGACCAGTTCTGTAGTGTTTTATCGCGAAGAGTAAACAGCTCCAAGATCAATGTTCATTAAAATGTAATTTATTCATTACAAATCAATAAACGTACAGTTATAATTATGTAATGATCGTTTAGAAAAGGCATTTGGTGTTAAAATCTAATTCGGCAGTGGCGTAACTAAAAACAGTTTCTAGGAAATCCATTGACTTTAAAAATTAAAATTAGTAAAAAGTATTTATTTTAAACAGCGATGGCACGTTAGATCTTTATGGAAAACCGGATTATTTTGATAATTTGGATTTTTACATAAAGGCACCGGCTCCATCTATATTCCATATCAATTATTAGACTTTTAGTTACGTAATCGAGGACGCGATTTTTAAATTCATTGTTGCCAACCATAGACATATTCTGCGCCGTGCTGACTAACTGGAATTTAAATTTCGCGCTGAGGATTCAAGTGGTAGCTCTGCTGTAAAAAATGTCAATTTGCCGCATTTATTTATTTATTTAATGACATATTTTTATTCGTTTTGACACTTTAATTTTGTATTACGAGTTTTTGGTTTAATTAAATAGTGTTGTAACACTTTAACCTTGAAAATGTTTACTAGCAGACCTTGCAGTCGAAGATTGTTCTTTTTAGAACCTATTTTAGTGCGAAGTGTACAAGATAGCTTAATAGCCGTAAAAAACACATCGCAACTTTATTAGAATATTTTGAACGGGAAAGCGGTTGTAATGGCCATTTATGACCCTTAAGTGTTGGTAAGAAGGTGAGTTTTGTTAATGTAAATAATAACTGTTTATATATTTATAATTCATTTATTTTGTTTTCTAAAATATTTTGATTAAAAGAAAATACATTAAAAAACATAATTTGTTGATAATTTGGCAACATTGGTAGTAGATTAAATTTACAAGAAAAAAGAACAGAGAAGATCTAATGGTTCTCAAAATTTAAGGAAACATATTTTTTTAATTTTCAAAGTAAAATAACTCGGTTATTTTGGGCTTATTTGAAAATGGTGCAGAGAAAATATGTTTTTTTTCGGGATCTACCAGTAGGGTTCGGAAGTAGTTAATTAAGACGTAATTTACCTGATTAACTACGTGTAGTTTTTTTCAAAAACTACGTTTTTTCCCGTTCATTAACTACATGAAAACTACGTTAATAAACTATGTATTGATATTATGAATAATTTTTCTTTGTATGAGGTGTAATAGGGATAATATGATTTAAATATTATATTTAAAACCATATTTCTTCTGTTTTATTAAATACATTATGTGTTTTTAAAGCTTCAACTTATTATAACCTCACCTCAAACCTTTGATATTTGAAGGTAAAATACATAGGTTACATAAGCTACACCCTCTACATAAACTACATTAACTACAAGTAATGTGCCAAACATGTAGTTTTCCGAACCCTGTCTACCAGTCTACCAACTTTAAGACTCACCCTGTATAGAATGATATTCGAGAGGAATCTCGATGTAACCTCCTCCCTCTATGTTTATGTCATTTAAGTTTGTATCGGCATAAAGATCTGCATTCAATTATTATTCTATACCTATCATTATATTATTTAACAACTTTGTTGATAATCTCATATAAAGATCATAAAACTATTGTATTAAGCCGGTCCCACACGATGTGGCAAACACCTTCCAACGTTGGACACACATTTGCCACATCGTGTAGGAGACACACTTGCCAATTATGTATTGTATAACGTGTGTATAACATTGTCGAAAACTGTGCCAAATGTTGGTTCCAACGTTAGAGCCAACGTTGGACGCATCGTGTAGGACCGACTTTAGCAAAATTTTGTAATTTTTACTTATAAAAACTTTATAATCCAGAAGATCTTTTTTGGGTCAGCAAAAACCAATTACAACGAAACTTTCATTGACAATTTAAATTATTGTTATAGGTAGGTCTTATCGACCTTGTTTACTTTTTTTTCGAAAAATATTACATCATCAACACGAAAATACATTTTTTATTACGTTGGAAGTCATCTGGCAAACGGCGGATATTCTGCAATGACGATACTACATAATTTAAATTTACCTTGCTCCGAAAGCAAACATTCTTGATATTTATCGTTAATATAATTAAGTCTAAAACCCTAAAGAAAAAGAAAAGTTCAACATTTTGCCCATAAATATTTACTATAGAACTTTCGTAGATCTCAGAACTTATTCGTATTCAAACGAACATACATGCAAGTAAAGCATAAAGTCGACTAAAATTGTTCGAAGGTCTTATAAACTGTTTAGCGCACTTTATACTATAAATCATCGTGTTGCAACGCAAAAGATATCTTCTGTTGAACTAAATAGCCATCGTAGAGAAAGCAAGGTCCTTGTAGTTCTCTTTATTATTACTTAATAGTGCAACCTATTGCATAACGTACACCTCGTGATAACAATTACATGTAAATGTTAAATATTATGATAAATTACAGCCTGTGTACGCCTCGAAGGTAATTACGTAGTAATGAAGTCATCTAAACGGTAATTTTCAAATTCGCGCCAAGGCCAATTACAGATTCCTAAGAATTTAATTCTCTAATGTATTCGTAAGAGGGCACTTTATCAGAAGACCCTATTATTTCGGCTATCAAAAACTAGATGTCACGATGTTTCTAAACCAAACTTACTACATAATATCATCATTGTCTAAGGATATTATTCCTCTTTTGATTCCTCCATGATAAATTCTTATCTATACGCTATACGCAACAAAATACCTAAAAATAAGGTAATGACTTTGGTAATGGCTCCATATCATATCTATGAGCAAGTGCAGCAAATAGACATCTCAAAGTAAGCTACTTCTACTCCCTCTTGTATCTAAAAGAGGGAACAGAGTAAAACAGTTGTCTGTACAATTCAGAGATAAAGTTATCTACGCGACACAAGCGTCAAACGTCAAAAATATTAGGTTATTAAACTTTCTGACAACTTTTTTGTTTACTATAGATTTTTCTAACTAAAATCTTCAATTTTTGTATTAAATTGTGTTGTAGTTTTGTTAGAAATGGCATCTCAGTTAAGCACAAAAGAAAAGCTGTTATATATAATCGATGATATGGAGCTCATTGCAAAGTAAGATGTATTATTTGTACTTGTTGTATATTGAATTTGAGCATTTATTAGGGAAATCATTGAGAATGCTATAGCTCCAAAAGGAAATAAACTATCCGGTCAGGAATATGCCCAACTCACTGAGCTACTAGTAGCGAAAGACAACGAATTGAAAGAAACATTAAAGCTTGCCAAAGAACAAGTAACGTGAACTATTTTATGTAATAAATTATTAGTATTAAAGTCAATCAATTATAGGGACAAATTAATAAAAAGATGGATATTTTAAAAGCGGAAGTTGAAAGACAAGACCAGGATATAAACAATTTACAGAAGCAGCTTAAAGAAGCTGAACAAATTCTTTCAACAGCTATTTATCAAGCAAATCAAAAGTTGCAGAGCATTGCAAGGGCCAAGAAAAGACCTGTATCATCTGAAGAACTCATTAAATTTGCTCATAGGTAAAATAATTTAATTGTTTTATATTAAAATATACAGACAAGATCACCTCTAGGATTAGTGCTTCAAATGCTATTTGTGCCCCTTTAACGTGGCAACAGGGCGACCCAAGAAGACCGTATCCTACAGATATTGAAATGAGACTGGGACTTTTGGGAAGAACTAGTGATCCAATGAACGGGCCTCTTTTCCAACAACAAAATTCGATGAGTGACTTGCACCGTGCTGGACATCCTGGCGGTAATTACATTTTTATTTTTGAAAATATAATTGCATAACGCGTGTTTTTAGAAGTTCCGGCTTCGAATCAGAACCAATTTGCCTGGCATCCATCTGGTGAGATGCATATTAGTGTTGGCCAAGGGTCAGTTCCGATGGACACGCGGAATCATAAACAGGAGAATGAAGATGTGGAAGTTATGTCTACTGATTCGAGCAGTAGTTCTTCAAGTGATTCTCAATAGCATATTAAGCGTAGGAGTAAGAGATTAAAATATGTATATTTTTGATTTTTTAGTGTACTTAATTGAATCTGACATTAATAAGTTCCAGTTTCTGCCATATATCAGTAAGATCTAGCGCATAAAAAATATGAAATCATAACGATATTTAGCAAATTGTTAATGGTTTTATATTTTTTTATTGTAACTTTTATTAGATATTTATTACAACAGGACATTTTTAATTAAACTGGAACATTTATAAATAAATGTGGTTATTTTTTTATGCTCTCTGGAGGCACACAGTATTGATATTTAATTACCTCCTAAGTTAGGTTTTTGTTGTGTTGAATGTTTAATTAATAAAATAAATTATTAAGTCAACACAAATATTTTTTATCAAGCATAAATAGTTTAATTTTGAACCCAATGTTACAAATATAATGAAGAAACCAGACATATTTGTAAGATCTTTGATAATGTAGTTCCTTTAGTTCTCGATGACCGCGGACGGTACAATTATATTAACAATTATTAATATGCAAGCAAGGGGCAGTCACTATGCAGTCGCGTCATTGACAACGCTTCTTCTTTGGCTGCGACTACTCTACTACTTGTAGCATATTATTACTTACTAGTGAAACGTCGTTTCATTCTCATATTTTTTTTGTCTGAAAACGACCACAAGCTGCAGAAATGACTATTTTTGAAGTATCTTTCTAAGATATACAATACACCCTCATTCAAGTCGTCTCTAGCACAGTTGTCTTTCCAGATTTATATACTTTACATAAATCACAAGTTCTACTAAGGGCTGACAAAGGTTAGTCTTGGGTCGAGATTTCCATATTTAAAAGAGTATAATGCGTTTATAATGTACTGAACAAAGAGAGAACAGTAAAATCGTTGCCAAATGTATGAAATAAACAGAAAATCTGTGCACATTGCTAAGAAACACGTGGAAGGGGATACAGCAGATTCGTCGCGGTCGACAGAAGGACGTATATCATGATACTTTTTGTTTATTTATTAACGAGTCGTTATAATTTTCCCTATAGCTTCTGAATTTTTAAGTGCAAGTTAGAGACACTTGCACTTTTGGTAAAAATTAGTGGAATTGAGTTGGTGTTCGACAGTGGTCGCGCTATTAGAACTCTGAATTCAAAAATCGATATCTCGAAATCCATTAGAAATAATTAATGATTCTAGTTTTTTCAAAATATTTCTGCTATATTTTCTTAACAGACAGTATGTGAAAATCTTTACAAATAAAAAAGTTATACGATCGCTGAAAATTACATGCGCTAAAAGTAAATGATTTTTTATAAATTTTTGAATGCAAAAAACAAGCCTATCGAATTTTTCTCGTTTAAACATCTTGTAAAAGATGCGAACTCCAAAATAAAAAAAAGTGTCAATATCTAAAGTTGTTTTTTGAGTTATCGCGTGTTATGTGTTAAAAAGTTGAGTTTGTAAATTATTGCGATTACTGATGTTTTCTCGTTAAATATGGACACCCTAACGATATCCTTATAATTCCATTTCAGTTGCTCAGAAACATATCTAATGATTTTATCTAGTTATCTTTTCAAAAAGTCTTAAAAATAAGAGGTTTGCGATCGTGATTTTATTTTACTTGATAGGGAAAGGCGTACCGGAGAAATGTGGCAACGCCGCAACAGCACACCATCGCATTTCTATCACTCCGACTTAAGATCTCTATGCCAGAGTAAGTAAACCGACGAGTAGCGACAGTCCGATTTTCAATTTTCTTTGCGGCTGCGCGAAATAGGTAGTCTATCTGTCATATGAAAAGCGAAGTTGCCCCTGTTGCCATTTATCAAATATCTCTATATACTCTATTTCAAGTATGCCTCAGGCAACGAATCATTTTTTTAATTATTTATTAGCTGTAAGATATTTTATACATTCATATTTAGAAATAGGGATTACACAAAACAAAAAAAATGTATGTATAAAACTTTATAATAAATTCCACTTCAAATTATGAGCAGTGTATACCATGTTTATAGGACCACTTCATAAGTGACCAGTTATATAGGTAGTCTATCTGTCAAACATGTCCAAAGAGAGAGAAAGAAAATTTGGTCCCACAACATCAAAAGAGCCGACGGCTTCTGTCGCTACTCGTTGTTCCACTTACTCTGTCTATGCGATTTACTTCCACACGTGTAAATACCGAACCAAAAGTAAGAGTTGCCAAGACGGTATATTCAACCAAAAATACCATAAAGAAACCGTAGTAAAGAAAATTACTCGGAAAAGCGCAAAAAACTCGCAAAAGAAGGTACAAATAGAAAAATAGTATTAGAGTTCTTAAGGTACATTGGCTGCAGAGAGCGTCGAGCGTTAGCGTCGCGTCCGGTCGTTCAAGCTGGGAGCGTCAGCGCAGCGTCATATATAAAATGGCTTAAAGGAAGCATTAATTTTGTCTAAAGTTACTATTGGAAACACCATATTTTACATTCAAAAGAATGGACAAAAAAGTAAGAATTCTCCCTATAAACAGAAGACAATATCTGCATGGAGAATTCCATCATTTATATTTTGAATTGAGAGAACATCCTGATTGATCCTTTTCAATTGTGATACTTTTAGCGTGTATACAAAACCCATACAAAGAGATTTCGAAAGCTCTCATATATTTACTTGTACTGTGAAAAAACTTACTAGAAATACCTAAAATTGTTGTTATTTCTTCAACTAGTTGATCACGCAGATTTCTATTTTTATATTGAGTAAATTTTGCATTCCACAGTGCAGGTCTTGACTGTATTTCGGCGTTTAACACCTCTGCGTGCTGGTCCTCATACGTCATGACAACCACTGAACGCTAGAAATCTCGCGGAAAAACAGATTGAACACAACGCTCAGCGAACGCGATGCTTTCTGCCTGGACGGTCTAATTTAAGGGAATTGATTTTCGTGACGACGCGGACCATTTCGTGACGACGCGGACGCGGCGCAAACGCAACGCGACGCTCTCAGCCTGAATGTACCTTTAGTCTTTAATGGTTTTGTAAAATAAAAGAAGGTACACAGTGCATAAAGATATATTTAAGTCTTCATGTACAAGCAAATATTACATAATCGTATTATAATAACCCTACAGTATAACAAGGGAGCAGCGGCCCCCTCAAAAAGAGTGCATCAGCGGCACCTCTCGGTAGGAAAAATGAAATAAAAATTAGAATATATTCGATTAGAGAACAACAATCACAAGTAATAGTAACTTGTCCCTAATGCCAAAAATTCCCTGGACCAATATGTACGACTTACGCGCAACTACTACTGTTTTACATCATTATAGTTTAGTATATATCATTTAAATGTCTAACTCCAATATAACGAGGCCTGTTCCTAGACAAAATTGAACGTATGCAGTATTTTATGCACGAAAAATTAGGTTACCGGTCCACCGAAATGCTTATATAGTGTATGTTCGTTAAAAATAGAACTATTTTTTTTAGATGTGATACCACAATCTTTACAGACATCAAAATAATAATTTCGATGGAGTATATATCCTTCTTTATCGTGAACTTAACCGCGAGTTGAATTTTGTCCAGTTAAAGCTTTCCAGTCAAAATCCTATTCCTTCGAAATAGATCCATCGATAGATTACTATAAGCGGAATACTTAGTCGGCTTGCTTGGCATTTTGCTTTCTTGCAGGAGAGTACGGGAGGTGATTAATTCAATGAATATTTTTTATAGTGTTTTATTTTTACGGCTTATTTTTTCGGGTCTCTGTGGTTTAAGATTATATGGGGACTAAGCTAAATAATTAGGAAAAAACCAGGACCTGTCCCTTAGCCCAACTTTCATGACTTTCTGGAAAATATCGTCCTTACATAACCTCAAACAATGTGACGTGTGTTACGGTTCGAAAGACATCCAATCAAGTCGGCCAATAACGAAAAAATAAACATGCAAATATACTAGGGAATAATCTGAACGTTTTTTTATTTACATCAATTGCGTATAGTTTTTTTAATTATTTTTTTATAATTTTTTTTTGACTATATATTTCGTATTACGTTTGTCGACGGCCTGTATACCGGGCTTCGACGTCACCTTATACCATTAACAAAATGAAAAGATACAAATTAAATCAAAAGTAACTATAGAGAACTAGTCATTTTCTACGGTGAAAACTCGGTATTCCAAAAAATCACAAAGACAAGCTGAGTTTCGCATATTTTCTTTTGGACTTAAGTTTAAATCGACGCTTATAGTTTCTGGTTCAGTTTTCATAATAGGTTACTTGTTCCATTGCCAGCCCTGCAACAAAAACAAAAAGGTTAGATTAGGCAAGAAATAAATATTGGTAAACGTCGGGTGACCACTGAGATCGGGGAAACTATATACAGGGTGATTCAGGGCCATAGCACGTTAGACGTTTATGGAGAACCGGTGATAGGATTTTTTCGAAAATTTGGATTTTTACATAAAGGCACCTGCTCCATCTGTCTAAATTATGTTCACCATTAAAGTGTTGCCGCTTCATACTGAAAGGGGTAACATCTTTATTATTTTAATTGGTAAACACCGGTAACTTCCATATCTCAAAATTTTTCTATTATACTAACCTATACCAATCTCTAATAGTTTTTGAGATAAGAAATAAAATATGTGTAAAATTGATAAAAATATTGGGCGCGTTCAGGGAACACAGCCGCAGACATTCAGCGTAGAATTTCGCTGACCAGCATCTTACGATATTCCCTAAACGGCACAAAGCAGCAAAAAGAACAAGAAACAGTAGCTGTCTCATGCGCTCTCTGTCTACCATAAAAATTTGAGAGAAATATAAATAAATTGTCTTCGTCAAATCGGTCTATTGTCTTTAGAATAAAAATTATTTTGAAAAAAGAATTATTACTGGCTGATCATTTAATAATTGAAAATATATTATTTGACAATACAGTATTAAACATTAAATTTCTAAAAAATAACAGTTTATAAATAATTTTACCTATACACCTAAACAAAACCACTTAAAATAACAGGATCTGGCACTTCGACCAAGTCACCTTTTACGCATTTCTTTTCGATGGTATGGTACAAATAAAATTACTGAAGGTGTAAATACCCCAATAAAAAAAACGACGTCAGGGGTGATGTGGATGTGCAGATTGCTGTTATTTTATAAGTAAACTTATATAGGGAATATAGACGAGAATCGTCATATCTAAACCAACTGGGCGCAATTTTTTTTCGATCAGATGGTATAATTACAATCAAAAGTTATTTATGCTGATTTAGATTTTTTCAGAAAGTAGTACTTTTTTTAATTTCGTTGTATTTAGAAAATTCGACTTCAATTTTATTGAATTTTCTTTATTTCTTTTAACTTCTTCGATCTCTATTTACCACTCAGCCGCTGACCGTCCCTGAACGCGCCCATTGTCTTGAATAAGCCTTGGTTAAATCCATAGATAAATGAAACAAGTTTAGATTGGAAAGTGCCCATAAGGACAATGTAAATACTATTTGGCGCTATTCTTGCAACGGTCGCGACCTAAAACTTTTGAAAATTTCGGAGCGATTCGGCTTTTTCCGGAATTATATCGCCAAATATTGTTTATTCAAATGTATTATTATTTTCGTTTAATTTTATAAATAAAATACAGTGTGTTGCATACAAGAAACTTTATTTTATATAAGGACGCACGTATGAAATACCTATGAAGATTTTTTCAATAATATTCATAGAGTTGAATAATTTAAAATAACAAAGATTTGAGTAATTTTATAACAAACGGAAATAAATCATATTTTTGCTCTCTCTCTGTGTAATATCAAATTGGTTTATTTAGACAGATCGAATATATCGACTTTCGTTAACTTATATCCCAAATTTCAACTATAAAAATGTTTAATTCATGATTTTACCAATGCTTATTTACGATCATGATTTTGTCAATTTTACACGTTTTATTTTTTATCTTAAAAACTATTAGAAATAGATATAGGTTAGTATAATAGAAAAATTATGAGATATGAAAGTAGTTTCCAAAAATGTAATAACATACTGGGTGTTCCATTTAAAATAAGAAATATGCTACCACTTTTCGAACGACGCGGCAACACTGTAATGCTGAAAATATTTTATAAAGATGGAGCATGTGCCTTTATGTAAAAATACAAATTTTCAAAAAAATTCTATCACCGGTTCTCAACAAACATCTAATGTGCCATCGCCGTGAATCACCCTATATACCGGGTGCGTCTCAAAAGTGGCTCACCCTTATTTTTACTTCATTCGATAGAAAATGACATTCTGAATAGAATGACATATCATATGTATATACTTTTGACATTTTTGTTTAAAACAAAATTCAATTTAAATTTCAATCTAGAGTGCTATGGCTGTGTTAAAAACACTAATTTTTAATCAAGGAGCCTGGAAAAATAGATTTGATCGTCTAATGTTATTCGTGTCTTGTCCTGGCTGGTTAAAAGATGTCGAAATCGTATTTTTAATCACATCTCAATTTTTTTAAATGGAACGAGGATGGTTCATTAGCATATTTGGAAAAAGCATTTTTTTACGAATAATTTGATACCACACACTTGGTATTTCGAGTCAAATTATCGTTATGAACCGCATGTTATAATTTCAAATAAACCGCATGCGAAAATGTCAAAGTTGACATATGATATGTCATTCTATTCAGAGTATCATTTTCTATCGAATAAAGCAACAAAAACCGAGGGTACCATTTAAAAATCAAAAGTTGTAGTCATTTCCGGCGAAACAGGAAGTGACAGAAAACAATTGAATACGTCAATCAATCCTAATTTATGTCATATATTAACATACCAAATCTAAATTTTTTATCTGAAAAAATAAAGTTATAGAGGTGCCACTTTTGAGACGCACCCGGTATAGACTCGCTGGACAGACTTGGTCATCAACTACTTACATGTTTATCTTGCAGTTCGGGTATGGGCCGACCGTTGTCCCATGACAAATCTAATTTTGGCATGTCAGATATAAAGTCCGGTCTCAAATTCGGGTGCTGGTGGTTGAAATAGGGGCCGGGGTTATTCATGTAGTTTTCCATCTGCATCGGTCTCTGCAGCTGAAACCAATCCAAAATATTGACCAAATATGCTTTCCGTGATTGATTCCAAATCAATCACTAAATCATCTATTTTTACATAATTCAAAGATAACTCTCTGGCCGTCTCCGTCTTTGACACTGACTCGATCGATCGTTAGTGCGGGTTTATATGCATATGTCTTGCGTCTTCCGTCGTTGATTTCAAGGAATTTTATTGGCTTATTTCAAAAATTCCCATTTCAGATATTCCCTCAACACGATTGGTGTGGCGGATCGACGGACGATGCATATAAACCTACCTTTAGTCTTTCTTATGTGTATATGTAATTTTTGAGAAATAAATTTAAACTGCAGTCTTTTTTTAATTTTAGTTAGAAAGCATACTAATGTGAACAAAGCGTTCTTATATTAATTACTTACTGAATACGCGACGAAAAGACGACAAAGGGCACGGTTACTAAATAGAACGGTTTTCTCGTAACTCCATTAGCCGCCATTATCGCAAACGTCATTAACTACGTCACAAGAATGCTGCCGATCATAGATAAAGGGATAAAATCTGCCGAGGGTCCGACAGTGCATTTCCGAATCGATATTCATTGTGTATGGCGTCCATAGTTTTCAGTTGTTTGATGTTTGTTTTCTTTATTGCACTGCTCATTTATCTCTCTGTATCCGTTGCATCTTATTTTTTATTCCTTTATCTATGATTTTATACGTCCTGTAGCATTCTTGTGTTTGCCGCTTCGCTCCTATTGGTCCAAAAGTTACGAAACAACCTGTTTAATATAGTAACCTTGGACAAAGGGTATAGAAAAAGTGAGGTTAATTAAAGTTATTTAACTTGTCAATGGGAAATATATTTTTATGTTGCCAATTTATCTTACCTGTGTTTCCAAAGTGGCATTCTAAAACATTTTTAAAACACAAATTAGCATTATAAGGAAAAATATTTTTCAGAATAATATACAGGGTGGTCCGAACAGTATTCCCGAAACTTCAGCAGCATATTCTGCAGATAAAAATAAGTAAAAAAGTTCGTATAAATGTATGTCCCAAAATGCTTAGTTTTTAGAGATACAGGGTGTAAAAAATTCATTTTTATTTCGATTTTTTCCAAATAATTTATGAAATAACGGCAATATTTAGATGACACTTTGTATCTGGCAGTTTTTTGACATGAGAAATTTGATTTTGATGTCAATATGACTCCTACTTGTAGATGGCGCCACCTACATATTTTTTAACTGGTTTGAAGACCTATAACTTTTCGTCCGTACCTGTATGAAACGACTAAGTAAAAAAATATACATTTACGATGTTTTCTACGTAAAAAAGGTCTCCTGGAAAAATACGCTACGAGTACTTGTTCTCAAGTTATTTGGAATCGAAATTATCAATACCTATCATCGTTGACATAAATTAAACATGTTAACTTAAAAGTTATTAGACTGAAATCATAAATTTGAAATGTTTTTGTGCCAAAAGTTCAACAGAAACTGTTTTGTCGACATTTTTTCGCAGAAAATTTATGAATTTAAAAAATAAAAACTTCCTAATTTATTATTTCAGTCAAATAACTACGTACTCAACGTGTTTATTTTTTGGCAATGACATGTATTGACTATTTCCATTTTAAATATCTTGAGGGTTGCTCGAAGCGATTTTTACCAAGAGACATTTTTTACGTAAAATATCACGGAAATGTATATTTTTTTGACTTTTTTACTTATTTTTATCTGCAGAATATGGTGCCGAAGTTTCCGGAATACAGTTCGAACCACCCTGTATACACATATCAATATAAATCTTGATCAAAATTTTAATAGTCCATATTTTTAGCAAATTTGTCACTATGGTAAACTGCTATAAGTTAGCATTCATGCCCAATATCGTTTTGCGCGAGTTTAAATAGCTGACATGGAGAGAAGGATGGTATTATATGTTAACCATGTTCTGGAAAGAGATCAGTACGAAAATGCATGTCATATTCGTAGAAACAAAGTGATGTGTACTAGCTGATAATATAGCTTTATCTACGAAGTTTATAGGATTGGAAAAAAAGTAGAAATCTGTTTCATTCCAAATACATTTATATGTAAATATATTATAGATCATACATATGTATATACTTACGTGGATAAATCAACGCCATAAGTTTCATTCAAAAATATGTCTCCAACATCACGATATGCCATTTGCAAACCTTCTTTATTGTACATATGAAACGTTCAATAGGTTTGTCTTTCTCGAGGACCTTACTTTGCGCATGCGCATTAAAAGTTGCACGTATTTCCAAAATAATCACAATTTTATACGGTTTAGAAAGTACAAATTATAAATTGTTTTGGAAACCAACTTTTCATTGTCATAATCATGTCTTATCTTAAAATCTTATTTCCATTGTGTAACTAGGCTTGTTTTTTTTTATTTTAAAAAATGTAATAATTACTTTTTTATCGACCGCTTTTATATAGCCAAGGATATAAAGTGTATAATGAGTGGCTAAATGTATTTTTTTATATAATTTAATTTTTGTGACAGTAAACATTCAATTTATTGTTCAAATATAATAAGCATTTTACAAATTAAATTTTTAAAATTAATGTTCAAATTTGGAGCAGGGGCGATAGGTCCTCGATAAGGATAGATAGAATAGAAGTGCCGCATGTACAACAAAAAAGAAGATAAATGGAAGTCGTTGATATGTTTGCAACAGTTTCCACAGTGATATCCACGTAAGTATATGATCTAGGAAATATACATGTTCTGACCCAGACGCCATATTTCGTTTATTGGAGTATACATATCAGGTCATCCTAAATCCGTGTTCTGGATTGAAAGGTGTAAGATAATAATGAAGAAACCCTAATGGCAAATCAAAGGTGTTAAAGAGAGATAAAAAGTTGGCCAATCCGTTAAAATATTTGATACTGGTTAAAAAAGTGTTTCAGATATTAAAGCAGCAAGAATTAGGTAGTTAAATACCAATAATTAAAATAACTTTACTACAGTTCTAATACCTAACATATTTTACCAACCGAATCTAAAATCATGCCTAGGAAATGGCAACGCTGCATTTTTTGTGCACCTGTCAACTGGTTATATTGTAACGAAACTTTTTACCTTTGTCTTACGTTAAAATACAGACCACGGATTTAGAACGACCAGGCCGGCATATTACAACTCACCGAAAAATCAATGCCGGTGTCCTCTTGGTACATCGGCGGCGGCCTCATGTTGAATTCGAGTCCGTTTCCGCCCCAATTGGCCTGTTTCTCGTTCAGCATCCAGTTCTGGTCCATCTGACTCGGGTACGCCTTGCGCGCTCTGCCCGTGCCGATCGGCTGAGGCTTGCGCTCCTCCATCCCGCCGAAATGGCCAGAGTCGGCGTGAAGACCGTGCGGCGGACCACCGGCCAGGTTCGGCGACATATTCGGCGAGTTGTTGACCATGGCCGCCAACTCAGCCCCGTTTTCGAGACCTTCTCCGTATACCTTGGCCTGCAAATTTTGGATCGTCATTCCCGCCAGGCCACTTATCAACTCGTTCTGTTGCTGGGTGAACGAAGGCACCTGCTGTATCCACGACCTGTTCTGCTGGGAGGCGTTGTTCATGCCCCGATGATAAGTGTTGGCGGCTGCGTCCATGTTGCCCTTTAACGCGAACACGTTGTTCTGCATCTGAATCTGGAACCCGTTGTACATGCCGCTCTTGTTCTGCATAGAACTGTAGGCGGAACCGGAGTATTCCGGCGCTTTGGGATTCAATCGAGACATGCTCGCCGACTGTTGTATGTTAACAGGCGGTTGAGGTTGCGAGAAGTTCAGACTTTGAATAGGGTTGAACGTGTTCTGTAAGAGGTGAGCTTCGTTGGTACCCAGGCCCATCAAGTTAGGCAGGGTCGCTCCGGGTTTGTTGAAGTCCATGAAAGGCATAAAATCGCCGGGTCCGCTTTGCGATACTTGAGGTCGCGAACCGATCGGCGGTAGGGCGTTCTGCGATTTGGTCGCTTCCTGGTAACCTTGGTAAGAAGCGGCTGACAAGGTGGGCGGCGTAGTGCTATTGCTGCTGGTTTTGGACGATACTGGTGAGCAAACGGCCACCCCTCGGTAACCAGGAGCTTTAGTAATATCTACTTGCGGCGGCGGTTCTTGATCTATAAACTTAACCTGTGTTGTATTCTGACTCGAACCGCTACTAGCGACAGAAGCAAAATTGGGTAATTTTGTAGGTTCTTGTTCGCGTCGGTTCCAGTAATCTCCTGGACAGAATAATGTATATTCCGAGGTAGCCGGTAAAGGAGCGTGCGACGTGATATCATCTTGTTGCTGCTGATGAGAGGTCTGAACAGACGAGGATAAAATGTTCGACGAGGCAGACGTCGTCATAGAACTGTTTTTCTCGTTACTGCTCGACGCGTGGCTAGTTTGCAAATTACTGGCAAAAGCCGACGAATGCGGGAGCTGTGGTTTGACTGCCGACGTGCTTTGGAAATGTTGCATGGTAGGTGGAGCCGAACCCGTAGGTTGTGGTCTAGCACTCTTAACAGGCGACCCTAGCGTGTTGGCGGGCGCTGCGATTGGCGGCTGCGGCGATACTGGTCCCGCTCCTGCCGTAGAAGGTGTCACTAGTGTGGATCTAAGTTTGGTAGACCCTGCAGAGGCAGAAGTCTGACCGATACTGCTAGACAAGGCTTGGCTAGCAGTTACGGTTTCCGTCAGCTTGGCGGCGAATGTCTGACTCGCTAGCGTAGTAATGATCTTAGAAGGAACCGAACGAATAACTGTCGCTGAAGAGACGGGGAGACGAGCAGCGCTTTGTTGGGCTTGAGCGTTCTTCTCTACCTGGGCAGCTAGACGAGGGGCTGTAACCCTGGTGGTGGCTGTAGTCGGCGCCGATCTGTACTTGGACGATGCGGAAGCAAAGCGCACGGTAGAAGTCGGAGCGGCGGCGGCGGTCGACACTTTGGTGTGGGAGGTCACAGTTGGTCCCGCAGTTTGGACAGTCGAGGCTAGTTTTCCGGCGTTTTTCTTGGTAGCTATCTGAGTTTTGTCCCATAGAGTTGTAGCGGCACTGGCTGGCTTAGGTGTTTTAGATAACATGGACGCGATATCGACGTCGGGATCTTTGATAAGGGCAGTGATTAAAGCGTGCGCTTGCCGGGTAGCTTCCGGGGCGCCCTTTATAGTGATGGCGCGATCGCCCTGGCCTTTTCCTTGCTTTTCTACTTCAATAAGCGCACCAGTATGCTGTCTGATAGCATTTATATTACTACCACCCCGGCCAATAACCCTAGAGATAGCGTTTAACGGCACCAAAACTTTCTTGGCACCCGACTCGGATACGGTCTGAACAGAGGACTTACGAACGACTTCTTTCCAACCGTCCTCGCGTTTAGTCGCTTGCTTAGGACTGGTACTGCCTCCGCCTTTGCTACTTTGACAGGGTGCATGAGAATCTTCTTTCCTGTTCTTAGAGGCGACGTAGGTCTCGTTGCCAGTAGCCTCAAAATCGTCGCGGTCCGCGGGCGATTTAATGACCACTTCCGGGACAGGCGCCTTAGGGGGTTTCTCCGCAAAAAATACATTTTTTCGCATGTTATTCTTAGATGCGCTTTTAGATTCCTTTACTTCCTTTTCCCTAGGTTCGGATCTTTCATTGGCTTCGAGCCCATCGGACGATTTGCTCGAACCCGCTTTTGGCTTCGCGGATAATAGCTCCTCTCTTTTTGCGTTAACGCTCGTCTTCTTGTTCTTTTTATTTTTGCGTTTTTCCTTGGAAGTTTTGATGTCGTTGCTGGAACAACTACCTTGACTGTTCGCGTCGATCCCGCTGTCCCCCTCCTCCTTATCGTTACCGTTAACTGGATTCGCTTCGGGCGCAACCTCCTCGACTTCAGCTTTTTCCTCGACCTTTTGCAACTTCCTTCGGTAGTTGACGTTCTTCTTGTTCTGCTCCTGCAGTCTCTTCTGTTGTTCCTTTTTCTCCCAGCGTCTCTGCTTCTTCTTCTCCCGTCTTTTAGCGGCAGCAATTCGTTTGATCTCTTCTTGTGTACGCTCCGACTCGAGCTCCTCCAATAATATAGAAGCGTTTTTATTGGCGCGGTCGGCTTGAGTCTCTTTCGCAGCTCGGATAAGCTTGACGCATTCGTGACACTTCTCCAGTAATTCTTTATCGCTTATGGTTCCAATATATCGCATCATTTCCTGGTCGCTGGGAAATTGAGTCACGTGTTCCACCATCCACTCTACTACTTTGACGTGTCCTTTACGGAAGGCCGCCATAAGACAGGACACCTTGCGGTTGTCTTGAGAATCTAAATCGGCGTTTTTGTCGTACAGCATCTGAATAACGGCCAAATGTCCTCCGTTAGCAGCCAGCCAGAGCGGAGAGTTTCCTTTCTTGTTCTTCACCTCGACCATTGCGTTTTTTTCTAATAGTAATTCGACAAATTGTGCGTGTCCTTTGTCGGCAGCTATAGTTAGGGCAGTGTCTCTCGACGAGGGAACCGGAGTAGCGTTAACGTCGGCCTTTTTGTCGACCAAAACCTTTCCGACGTCGACGTAACCTCCCGAAGCGGCTTCCATCAATGGCGTCAATCCTGTCTTGGCGCGATGTTCCACATTGGCTTTCCTTTCCAAAAGGAGCGCCACCACCTCGTGTCGTCCTTGGAAACAGGCCAAAGTGAGCGCCGTGTTTCTATTCGTCTCGATTTGAGCATTGATATCGCTTCCCATGTCCAGAAGAACCTTGACGGCGGAGGTGTGTCCGTTCATGGCTGCCAACATTAACGGGGATATTCCCAGTTTAGAACCCGTGCGAGAGTTGATCTCGGCTCCGTGGCTCAAAAGTAGCCGAATAATGTTGACGTAGCCACCTGAGGCGGCCAAACTTAAGGGTGTATAATCTGACACATTGCGATGTTCCTTGTTGGCGTTACGGTTGAGCAACAGTTCGACCACTTCATAGCGGCCGCCGCTGCAAGCGAGACTCAGTGGCGTATCCTTGGTGCGTTCGGATTGGGCCTCAATGTCCGCGTTGTGGTTTAAGAGAATATCGACGACTTTTTCGTGACCGGCCGTGGCAGCCAAGATCAGAGGAGTGAAACCTAAAAATTATTGTTTCATTAATGTCCGTAAACATAACAGTTTTTTTTAACAAAAATAGCTGAGTTGGACTATACAACGTGTTCCAAATTCGAGTAACCATTCGGATCTCGCAAGCCATAAGAGATACAAGGTCAAATTATGGCAATGTTTTCAATTTTATGACCAATAAAATACCCTTTTGCAAATTAAAAATGTCCAAAAATATTCGAAAGAAAAAGTAAAATCGTTTTTAATTAACATTATATTTTTTGGTGTTTTAAAATGTTAAAGAAGCACAAAATTTATTTAGTTCAAAGCTAAGGAAAAAGTGATAGTAGTTATTGAAAAATGTGATACAACAGCAAAAATATGACGTTAATCAAAATTAATAATATCCATCTATTAACATGAAAACGAAATTATATTACCACAGAAACGCATTTTTATTTTTAGAACTTTTCAACCAATTCAACCATATTTTCATGTTTTTCATAATTTTCTCTAAAAAGGCATGGAAATTTGGAAAAGTATAAACGGAGTTACCCATTTTAGAACAAACAAATTTTTTTATGAAAAATACATTTTTCTCAAAATGACAATAAAAAAGTTTTTCCTCTTGTAAAGACAATCCGGGGACATACTGTATATATGTAGCTGCATTTTTATTAAGTATTTCTTTATATTAAATTTCTCATACTGACAGTCAAATCCGGGATTATAGGTTGTTATCCCGGGATTTCAAAACGAGATCCCGAATCCGAGGTGACCGATTGGTCACCCTAATTACAATAGATTTTTTTTCGAATATTTTCGAAAATGGGTTTTCAAAAACATAAAATTGCGACTTTATCATAATTTCGCCTCCTTCGTCACTCGACAGTTTCCGAAATCCCAATAATCACTCACCCTCGAACTTGGGACACCCTGTACCTTGTAATTACCTTTCTTATCACGGTGTTCGATATCGGCCCCTCGACTGATCAGCAATTCCACCAGTTCTTCGTGGCCGCCAGCGCAGGCCAGGGTGAGCGCAGTGTCATGGTTGCTCTCAGTCTCGGAGTCCACATCCATACAAGGAGATATAATCGAATTGGCACACTGCCGGTTATTCGCTCCGCTGTACTGGGTGATGGCCGAATTGTGGTCGATCTGGTAGTTCTGATCTTGCTGCAGGTTGTTCTGGAGCGAGTTCTGATGCCGGATGACTCGGCCTTTCTTAAATTTAATTTCCGACACCTAGAGATGATATTTAAGATTGAAAAAATAAGATACTTTCAATAAATTAACGTTAATGAATTAGACAGAGTGTTTCTTAAATAGGTGCAAAATATGTGAACTGTTAGTATAATTGACCGCTAAAAAGAGGGGGGAGAACAATGTGAACGTTTTGTATTTTTCTTTAAATATTTCTTCCTATTATCACCCCTCATAATGTGACTGATGTACTGTAGCTTCCTTTCCATGACTGTTGATAGGAGCTCTTTATCATTGCCAATCAGTCTGAGTACCTCCACATTCGGTGCTCTGTCAATCCAGGATACACACAGCATACGACCACAGATTATACAGATTATAAACTTTGTTTTTTCTTTATTGTTTTTCGTGGTTCCAATTTTCGGAATCGGGCACTAGTTCGGTTACTAGTTTGGCACATAGCAGGCACACTTATAGCCTCTAAAATTGTGCACAGCGCCTGACCGCTGACCGGCACAGTTATTAGAGAGATATCGGAAAACCGAATAGCGTCATGCAGTATTTACGCGTACCTTATCATGGTTACGATATGCGCGAGTCAATTTTTAACGCAACACCCGCTAATAACGTTACCGCCTGACGTAATTTGCGGATCAATTACACCAAGCGCTATTTCTAAATAACGTTTAAAAATTGCTTAAATGGGCATGTGCGGGTATTTTACAACCGGGGCCGGCCGGCGAGATCTTTTATTTTAGGTTATGTTTGAATTGTTTTGAATTGTTACTTTAATTTTATTAGGTAATTGATTAAGTAGCTGGGATTAGTTTTAATTAAATAAATATGGCTCAAAATATGGATTCCACCTCTTCCAATATTAAGAACCTATAAAGAGGCTTAGGTTTACAGCAGATGATGACTTAAGCTTGATTTTCATACATACGATATTAATTTCATTGGTTGTATTTAAAGGCTTCGATTGGTTAACCCTTTCTAACCAACTGAAGTCTTTAAATTCAACCAATAAAATTAATATCGTATCATCGTATCGTCGGACAACGGATGCATAAAAATCAAGCTTTAGCCTTTCTAAGAGAATTTGTTGCTTGTTCCCTTAAATCCACTGGCAGACGTTCAACAATAAAGCACTGGAAATAAGCATTTTAGCCCTTTAGTTTTAAAATACCTAGTAAACAAGTAACTAGTTGATACCACCTAAAAATACCTAGTAACTAGTTGATACCACCTCACGTAAAGGAAATAACACCTGGCCTTATTAACGTCCATGCCCGCTATTCGGTTTAGCGATATCTCTCTATTACGCTGTTTATTGTTATTTTACGCGAGTTTATTTTTGCGCACAGGAAATTTTACTCGTTTGCACATCGTTATAAAAAACAATTTTCGTACCACGAATTAGGGATAAGATTTTTATCTGTATACATATAGTATACCTAATCTGTGATTCGACGATACAAGAACATCTTAAAAGTGTTAAAGCAGTTTTCCAATGTCTGATTGAGTCTCTAATACTCAAGAGCTATAGAGTACTAGAAAGATGCAGCAATTCCGATGCACGTGATCAACTTTGACTGACAGGCGATGGCGACAGTGCTGCCAGATTTGGTTTGGTTTGGATTTCCGAGATGAATCGTAATTTAAAATTGGGAAACAATATATTTATTATATGATTTTTTAAAGACCTTTACGTTTTATTTTTAATTTAATAACTAATATTTTAGTAATTAATTGATTTATTTGTTCATTATGAAGATTATTCTAAGTGTTATTAAGGGTTCTTTATTGATGTACATATATGTAAGTAAAGGATAATAAACCTTTATTGTCACATTCTCGTTCAAAATAGTTTATCAGGGAAGCTACAAGCTCTTTATTTTGAATGTTTAAATACTTTGGCATATTTTCAACACACAATTTCAAGAAATGCAATACAAAAACTTGAAAATTTAGTTCTTAAACGAACTGTTTGTGCTTAAAAGTACAATTTTTAAAAAAAAATACTATGAAAATAGGCAAAAAAAAACAAGAATTACAATGATTCGAGAACAACACAATATTATACAAAATAATGACTAACATTAGGATAATTGTCAAATAACAAACGACAACGTTGCTGAACACGGCGCAATGTGACCAACATAGCGATAATAAAATTCGGTTTAAACTAATTCTTACAGCTTTAATCTAAATAAAATATCTGTTACAATCATTTGCTCTATAAAGTAAAATGAAGAGCTGCTCGGTATCATAAATTATACAACAAATTTAAAACATTTTTGCCAAAATTTAATTTAGTCAGTTTAAAGACTTTAGTGTCGATGTCGATATGACGACGCATCGGTAAGTGTTTTGCGACTACGGAAGTTAGAGCCTTAGATCTCGGCTGGAGAAGAGGATTTTCATGGAAGCAAAAGCACGTCTGGCCTGTTCGATGTTCGCCAAAATTTCAGTTTTTGTATCGCAAGCATAATTTAAATTTTTATATCATGTAAATCATATTTAAATCATGTATAAATCAAATCAAATCAAGCATCATCAACAGATGATTAAAACTTTTTTTAATTTTCCACGAAAAAAAAAGTAAAATTGGCATTTTGTTAAAAAAACAACCACGAGCGTGTTTCTAGGGTTAAACTACACTACCAATTAAAATACTTGCACCTATTTAAGTGACGCCCTAGTTTAGAAATTATGTTAGAAACCTTTTGAATCTTTTTGCCGTCGCTGCCGTTCTGCGTTTGAGTTTGCGTAGCGGCCTGTACCTGATTCGAGCCCTGCGGTTGCTGAGAAGTGACCTGTTGCTGAACCACCTGCTGTGGCGACGGATTGTTCGACGGTTGCTGTTGGTGTTGACCGCACGGTTGACAGATATGACTACCTACAAAATAAAATAAAAAACAAGTTTATATCGAATCTTTGTTATAAATTAAAATACAGGTTGTCAAAAATATAGGATGATATAGGAATTTGTCCATGCCACAGTGCTATCTCGATGGCGAATTAAAATCGCGAAATGCGACGGTTGACTTTTATATTTTGCATATAGAAACATAGTAGGCGCATGTCAACATATATCAAATGTCAAAATTAACTGTCATCTTTAGTTAACGCCAAGGTTTATACCGTGCTGGCAACGCATACTTTTGGGTTGGTATTTACAGGTGTGGAAGTAAGAACAACAAACAAAAAATGTAATATACCAAATTACCATGTGAATGCGATAAATTTTACATTGGTGAAATATCTAGACCCTTAAATGTTAGAATTAAAGAACATAAAGATTATTTAAAAAAGGGAGGTTTTCACAAATCTAAGATTTGTCAACATTCATGGGACACAGGGCACAGAATAAATTTTAATAATGCCAAAATTATAATGAAAGAAGCGATAGCATCTAAAAGAAAAAAGGCTTTTTTAATACAATCTAATAAAAATAAATGTATTTTTATTAGATCATGCTCATGCATCTGTAGATGTTAGTAATGTATGGCAATCGCTTCTCTGATTTTAAAGAACATAACATAAACATAACATACATAAAATTTAGAAATAATCATACAGAAAGTTTGGGGCTTCTTTGTTTTTACCTTATCAAGTAATTGTTATCAGGTAGTAATTGTTAATTTTGAAGTGATACTTGATATAACGTCATTTTAACAGAACGTCAACGGTTTTTGTAGACGTATCTGTTTTAAAGAACTAAAGTGTTCTCGAAGAGTTGAATTTAAATATTTTAAACAGTTTTTTTTGTTCTTTGTATTTTTTTTTGCTTCCGACAACGGAGAGAGATAAACTTTCCGAAACGTTAAGCATTTTTTTGTTGGTTAGGCAATTTGTATAACTGTAAACCTAACTTCTGATGAGTAGTTTCCGTTTGGGTTTAACGCCCCAGAAGTGTTTACAAAAAAATAACTATTTTATTTTGTAGATTTTCTTGCAGTGGCGAAATACCCAAATAGGATTTTTTGGAGAGGTGAATCCGCCACATAGGTATAGACATTTTTATAAGGATACCGTTAGGCTGTCCATTTTTATAACGAGAAAACGTCAGTAATCGCGATAATTTAAAAACTCAACTTTTTAACACGTAACACGCGATAACTCAAGAACCACTTTAGTTATTGAAACTTTTTTTTATTAATATGAAGTTCAGAGCTTTTACAACATGTTTAAATGAGGAAAATTCGATAGGTATGTTTTCTTTCAAAAATGTTAAAAACCCCGTCCATTTACTTTTAGTGCACAGCAATTTTCAGCAATCATGTAACTTTTTTATTTGTAAAGATTTTCACATACTGTCTGCGAAGAAAATATAGCAGAAATATTAAGAAAGTTTTTGAAAAAAAAACTACAATCAATTATTTCTAATGGATTTCGAGATATCAATTTTTGAATTCAGAGTTCTAATAGCGCGACCACTGTCGAACACCACATCAATTCCACTGATTTTTCCAAAAGTGCAAGTGTTTCTACCATGCACTTAAAAATTTACAAGGTATAGAGAAAATTACGACTCGTTAATAAATAAACAAATAAAGTATCACGAGACGTAATTAAATCGTGAAGCTGAACGCATGATGTACACACTTTCCTAGAATTTTAAGTACTGATTGGGTCGACCGCGACGAAACTGCTAATCTCCTTCCACGTCTCTTAGCAATGTGCAGTTTCTCGGTTTATTTTATACATTTGGCAACGTTTTTACTGTTCTCTCTTTGTCTCTTTTTCTCTCGCATTGTACTCTTTTTACATACGGAAATATCGACCCAAAACTAACCTTTGCCAGTCCTTAGTATGCAAAATATAAAAAGCAACCCTCGTATCATCTTACATTTAATTAAATTTATCAGAAAAAAATCCTACCTTGAGTGGCGTGTCCACAAGCTGCGATTTGTTGAGGTTGTTGCGAGGTATTGACGCAAGCCTGCGGCTGATTTGACGTAATAAATGTTTGAGGTTGGTTGGTGAGCGGCGGTGGCGCCACTGATCCCGCTACAGTCAGAGAATCTGCTGAAAAGCAAAGTGGCATTTCAGTGACCACGTTCAGTGTATTATCTAAAAATCCACTACTTTAATTAAATGAAAAATAATTTTCAATGCACGTCGTCTGAATAACTGACAACTACCAGTGATCAGAATACTGTATTAAAAATAAATTTGCGCGATAGAAATAATATAGACTGCCTAAGTTTAAGACACATAAAGGGTAAATATTCTACTTCGTAATTTTGTAACCAATAGTCTTCAAATTCAACTATATAATCAATATCGTATCATCGGATATCGAAAGCATGAACGTCCAGCTTAGGCAGTCTATTAGATTCCCTCAGAAATAAAAAAGTGTACCAAGCTGTTGTTGTTTAAGGCTGTAGCCGGCTTGAAATCCTTGCACCCACTGGTCTTTCTGCATGCCACCTGCCGTCAAGTAGTGTTCGTAATTATACAGGGCGTGCACCGGTACTTGGCCGGACGTTGTTTGTGTTCCGGGCGCTCCTGTTGGCACTGCAAAGTATTCCACTCTAGAAAGATCTGCGGAAAGCACAAAAATCAAAATAAGCAATATTGTACAGGGTGGCTTAAATTCGACGCTTTTAAATGGAAACACCCTTTTCTATAGGAGATAGACGAAAATTAATATCGGTGTCTGGAGCTCAATTTTCATCAAAAACATGATGGTGAAAACCGCACATCAATATCTGTTACCGTTTCGAAGTTACGGGGTGTTTTTAAAAAATAGGCATTTTTAACAAATCGCTGTAACTTTTTTGCTATGGAAAATTTTGTATTTTTATGAAAACATTTCCAAAGCACCTTTTTACGTAGAATTTAATGGTTAAAGTATAATTTTTTTAAAATTAATAATTTAAGAGTTATCAACAGAAAAATTGATTTTTTATTTGGGACACCCTCTATATTTTAATTAACTGAAAAGAATTTAAAATTACCTTTTCAAAAATATAGCATACTTGATATTTTGTTATAATCCCCTTCAAAATACAGAATTTTTAAAAGTTCGCCACTTTTAACTAGTAGGCTTTGGACCCCTTCTTGATGATATGCCCTTAATGGAACTGGAAAACATATTTTTCCAGCAAGACGACGCACCGCCTAAGAACGCTGAAGTTATCAGCAAATTTTTGCAGCCAATTTCAAGAATAATTGAATAGCTAACCAAGATCCCAGCCGTTGACCGTCGAGGTCGCCTGACTTAGTGCCCATGGATCTAATCCTATGGATATATTTGCGGAAGAATAAAGGTTCCTTATTCTTCCGTATAATCTACACAAGAATTAGAAATACTTAGCAGTTATGAGAGGATATCTTTCAACCTTACTGTGTTAATGAATTCCGCGAGAAATGTTTAAAAACTGCCTCGTCTGTCCATAACAGAAGACGGTCGATATGTCGAACACCTGTAGCAAAATGTCATGTCATGGTGTGCGGTTTGCTATTTATTTTTATTGTTATTAGATATAGTTTAAATGTGTTGATGTTGGTTAAATATATTTTAAATTGTAATAAAACTGTGGATCTCTTATAGCAAATATTATTTTCCTTTTAATTGATGCTCACAGCTAGAATTTTTTTGCATTACAGCCGGTGCCGTTCAAAGCCTACTTATTTAAAGTGGGCGAATTTTTATATACTCTATATCTCGAAGAGGAATCGAGCAAAATATCAAGTGTGTTATATTTTTGGAAAGGTAATTTTAAATTCTTTTCGATAAATTAAAAATATACAGGGTGTCCCATATAAAAAATACAAATTTTCTGTTGATAATTCTTAAATTATTAATTTTAAAAAAATTATACTTAACCATTAAATTCTGCGTAAAAAGGTGCTTTGGAAATGTTTTCATAAAAATACAAAATTTTCCATAGCAAAAAAGTTACAGCCATTTGTTAAAAATGCAAATTTTTGAAAAACACCCCGTAACTTCGAAACGGTAACAGATATCGATATGCGGTCTTCACCATCATGTTTTTGACAAAAATTGAGCTCCAGACACCGATATTAGTTTTTGTCTATCTCCTATAGAAAAGGGTGTTTCCATTTAAAAGCGTCGAATTTGATCCACCCTGTACACGCCCTAACAATAAATATGTTGTTACTATAGGTTTGCTCCAACCCGCCGCAGAACCGTCACCGAACCATCACGCTTGTAATTCAAATGTGTTCCAACCGAGATTTGACGGTTATCGGACGATCCTATTTGCGTACCAACCTACCTTGGGATCGTTTAGTTACGATTTCAGAACGGTAATTTCGGTACATGGTTCAAATTGAGAACTGTTTGGGTTGACTTGCGCATTAAAGCATACTGTCAGGGATTATCTATTTTTAACAGCATATTCTGGTCCGGCGTCAGGCTGATGCTTCTGTCTTAGTTATTTTTTACAAATTCGAATACGTGTGCGTTATACTTTTGCTTGTGAATTTGTGTGGAGAAAATCGTTCCGAAATTTTAATTAATTTTTTATTTATAAAATAATGTTCAAAGATTCTACCACTGCAATGAAATAACAGGAAATTACACATAACAGGATCACAAAAGAGATAGGCAAGTGAGTTAGTGAGTATACAGTTGAAACAACACTTACCAACAATTACTGGATTCTGATTCTCCACTTCAAGAATAATTATTATTATTGCAAATTGCAAACAAAAATAATGGGGTTATGTTGTGAAATTCTAAACAAAAACAAAAAAACGATCGATACACCTTTGACGGTCCCGAAAACCATCCACAAAGCGTTCCAACGTTGATACTTTTTGCACCGTCACGAAACTATACGAAGTCCGCGCATGCTAACAAAGTGCAAGAAAACCGATTCGAGTACGATTTCGAAACGATCCCGAAATGCTGGTTGAAACAAACCTTATATTTAAACTTGTTGTTTTTTATTGTAAAAAACAGTAAATTAAATTTAATATTATTTTTCACTAGTGTATACTAACGCCTAAAAGTACTGACGTCACTTATGATCATTTAACGGTATAAGCAACAGAGGGCGTCACTAAAGTTCCACAAGTAAGGTTAAAGGCGCTATTACTATGAATTTAAAAAATTTTTAATTTTGATTATTTCATCTTCCTTAAAAATTAAGACAAAAATTAAAAAATACAGGATACATAAAACTGTTAAACCACCAGATTTAAAAAGATATAGGATTGTAAATCTGACAATAATTATCTATGACCGCAAATGTATTGTCGAGCAGTGTATTTTTCGGAAAATTTAACGTACCGGAAGTTCCTGTTGCTGCAGCCGCAGCCGCCGCCGCAGCCTGAAGGTCGGCTTGCTGCGCAGCTGTCAAAGAGGCAATCATAGTCTCGTCTAAAGTACCTGGGTAAGGTTGTACCTCCAAAGTTTGTACCACATCGTCGGGAAAGTCTTTGTCTGTTAATTCTAATTTTGTAACTTTGCTCTGAGAATTCTGATCTTGTTGAGTAGGGTCGTACACCTCCAAACGTGATTTTTGCTAAAAAGACATTGTTTTTAAAGTAATTCTTATAGTGGGTGTGTGTGGTATAGGGTGTCCCATTTTCAATGTTTTATGGGATTTTACATGTAAGAGTAGAGATACAAAGATGCGATTTTCACATCAATATGCTACTTTTTTATGAAATTAAAGATACTACATACAGATTATTCCAATCCCTCTTAGTTCCTGAAATACAGGTTGAATTTGAAATTATTATATTGGCTCCCTTCATATCATTGTTATCCTATAACTTGTCGAAAAGGTGAAAACTGCGTTTGAAGCACCTTTAGTTTCATAAAAAAGTAGCAAGGTGATGGGAAAATCACATCTCTATATATCTAGGTGCTTAGAAACTAGAAATCCTGTAAAACACACAAAAATGAGATCTCATATATAAAAAATATTTAAACTTACAGGAGAACCAACCGTAGCCGCCCGAATGAACGGAATCGACGTATTATGGATCTGCTGTAAAATGGACGCGGTCAGAAGACTCTCTTGATCATCCTTCAAAAACGTTACATCCAAATCTTGAACGTTGAGAACGTCAGAGGGAACTGAACCACCGTCCACTTTCTGAAATTGTACGCCAGGTTGATTTTGTACCGTTCTTTGTTGCGGTTGGCTTGGTTGTTGGGGCAGTTGTAGTTGTCGAAACATTTGAACCTTTTAGAAAATGTTAAAAAAATAAGTAAGGGTAAATTTACAATTATTTATGATAACTTTTAAGAGTTATTTATTTCAATAATGATTAGAGAATTAAATAACAAAAAGTTTAATTAAAAAACTAAATTAATTAATTTGTAATATGTCCATTTGTATAAAAATCACAACTTAACAATCTAACCGAATTCAACAGCCGAAAATAGAAGAATTTTTAATTTCTTAATTATATTATGAATTATTTACAGAAACAAGTAAAACATTATACCGGGTGCGCCTCAAAAGTGGCTCACCCCTATAACTTTGATTTTTTCAGATAAAACAACGAGATTTGGTATGTTTATGACATAAATCTGGATTGATTGACATATTCAATTGTTTTCGGTCACTTCCGGTTTCACCGAAAGTGGCTACAACTTTTGATTTTTAAATGGGACCCTCAGTATTTTTTTACTTTATTCCATAGAAAATGACACTCTGAATAGAATGACATATCATGTCAACTTTTGACATTTTCGCATATGGTTTATTTGAAATTGTAACCTGCGGTTCATAACGACAATTTGACTCTAAATACCAAGTGTGTGGTATCAAATTATTCATAAAAAATGTTTTTTTCAAATATGCTAATGAGCCACCCTCGTTCCATTTGAAAAAATTGATATATAATTAAAAATACGATTTGGGCATCTTTTAACTGGCTAGGACAAGACACTAAAAACATTAGAAAATCAAAATATTTTTCCAAGGCTCCTTGATTAAAAATTAGTGTTTTTAACACAGCCATGGCACTCTAGATTGAAATTTAAAATGCAATTTGTTTTTGAGCGAATATGTCAAAAGTTGACATATGATGTCATTCGATTCAGAATGTCATTTTCTATCGAATAAAGTAAAAAAATACCGAGGGTGTCATTTAAAAATCAAAAATTGTCATCGTTTCCGGCGAAACAGGAAGTGACCGACAACAATTGAATACGTCAATAATTCCTAATTTGTCATATACTAACATACCAAATCTCGTTTTTTTATCTGAAAAAATAAAAAAGTTATAGGGGTGAGCCACTTTTGAGACGCACCCGGTATAACAGATAAAAATGTCATTAAATAAAATGTGTTGCGACAAAAATATTCATAATTTAATTAAATATATAATCATTATATGTACAATAATCTTTAATAAATATGTAAAAGCGGCAGCCTAGCATTCTCTGTTTACACCTGGTTTGTATATCTTGGGTACGTTAGTTTTGTTCGTCAAGGTTCGTCTATTTGTATTATTTGTCACAAATTACTGCCGTGTGTTAATTTTTTTTTGTAAACTTTCAAAAGGTGGTTAAAAACAGTGAAAATATTCGAAAATATTAATGAAAGTACCTGCTGGTCTCCAAAGATGTTGAACGTTTTCGGAGGCGAGGGACTAGTCTGTGGTTGAGATTGGTTTAGATTTTGCGCGTTCTGATTGGTCACCTGAGTGCTGCTAGGCTGTGGCTGAGCGTGTTGCACTTGCTGCTGTTGCTTTCTAATGTTTTTACCTTCTTTTTTGATCGGTTTAACCTTGGGTCTATCGTTAATAGCGGTGTTCTAAATAACATACCAGATTAATATAATATCTTGTAGTATTTTGAGTCTATTATAAAATATTTAGTAATAAGAATGATTAAAAATACAACTTTTTTTTAACGTTTCTACAGAAACAACACTATTTTCATCTAACACGTAGACTTGTATAAAACTAGAGTAATATACATTGATTTGTTTTAACCCAAAATATACAAGGAAAACATAAACACACTGTTTATTACAATCTGATTTAGCCAGACTTAAATAATCCGATTTGCAAGGTTTGATAACGCCATTTTAATCATATCATCTCCTTTAGTTTACAAGATCCCTGTATTGTGCATTCTTGTATGGGACACCCCCTCTTATAAGGGTTGTGTATGTTACAATAAAAGCTGGAAATCAGTGATTGTTAACAATTACTAGTAAAAGCTCACATTCACCGATTTGCTAAGACTACGTCAGTAAAAGTACAACAGCTATTTTTGAAACCAAATTTTACTAGTGAATGCTAGCATTCCCTGGACGCTAGCAGTGAGTTTGAAAGATTCAGTTAGCGTGGTTGCCATATATTGTAAAATATAAGGATAAATAAGGATAAGTTGAATAATAGGCAATATCAGGATAACATTAAATTGGGCTAAACGTTAGCAACGTTGCTGGCGTAAATTCGCTTTTTTTTGTAGTTATGTATAATTGTTTTGTTATCGTTGTAAAAAGTGCTGTGTGGTATTTTCCCTATGGAAGAAATTTTCTGTGAAAAATTAAGGTAAACTAGGCACTCGCAAGAATGTAGTAGTGCTTGTTATTCGCTTTTGCAATATAATGAAGTCATAGCAAAAGTTAAGCGTGCAAGAGAAAAAGATATTAAGGAACCATGAACTTATTAAACGTTTTGATATACTTGAAGTAGTGGGTTTGAAAAATCGAATAACTCCCGTTGAAGAAAATTCGGGCATACTTTTATTTTGTTCACGATGAAGAACTTTATTTAAAAAAACCTTGTACCAATAAGTTTTTTTAATTGTTTTGTACGCTTTAAAATGTTTACTATGTTATCCCTTTTAATATTTAGAAGGTTATATCGTTATTTACTATAAATGTTAATAAATATACTACAGAAGTATAAATTGTAATTTTAAGATATCTGGATCAGCTTGAATATTGAGGTGATCCAATATTCTTCCAAGTTTTATTTGTTCTAACTGCCACCAACACTCTTCCCCACCACACTCACCCTGTACAATAGAATAACTTTTACTGGCAACCTTTAGTAAATGTTACTACTAGTGAATGTTAGAAATTACTAGGAAAAGTCGACAAATCTCTTTAAAATTGTCCAATGAGTAATTGCTAGCACTTCCTAGTGAATGTTAACAATCACTGAATTTTCGACTTTCACTGTTACGTATAATATACGATCGTCGTTAATAAACTTTTTTAATAAATGGCAACCTAGCATTTATCTACTTGCATCTAGTATATCTTGGGTACCCACGTTTCGTAAGATTTATCTAATTTCAATTATCTGAAGCTTCTTACCTGACTGACTTCGGCAACGCTCTGAAACTTGATAGGTTGGGCAGTGAGTGCGGACGCGGGTACCAAAGTCCCCAATCCGGGTGCCGCGGGCGCCGAAACCACGCCTCCGTTCGCCACAGTGGCCGTAGGCGTGCCCAGCGACACGCCCATGGGAGCTGAGCTAACCGGCATGGGCGTGAAGTAGAAGGTGGGCGCGGCAGTTTGATTCGCCTGCGCTTGGCTGGCAGGCGCCGCGAACTGGGGAGACGTCTGTTGAGACAGAGGCGTGCCTATGCCGGCGTAGAACGGGACTTGGTGCGAAGGTTGAGGCGACGCACCGGAAACGTTGCTGTAACCGAGTCCTACGGGAAAAAAAAGGTCTTATACAGTCTGTTGCCAACATGAACATAGGAAATCCCATGTAAATTTTAAAAATGAATAAGTTTTCCCTATATTATTTTATAGAAAAAAGTATTTGAAACTTTTTAAAGGGCTCCTTAAAATAAAGCAAATTGTTCATTTTAAAGGGCTCCTTAAAATAAAGCAAATTGTTCATTTTAAATAGCTTCTACAAATTCCTTTTAAAGTATACTAAGGACTGGCAAAGGTTAGTTTTGAGTTGAGATCCGTATGTAAGAAGAGTACAATGCGTTTATAATGTACTGAATAAAGATAAACAGTAAAAACGTTGCCAAATATATGAAATAAACCGAGAAACTGTGCACATTGCTAATAGACGTGGAAGGGGATATAGCAAATTCGTTGCGGTCGACCTAATCAGTACTTAAAATTCTAGGAAAGGGTGTACGTCATGCGTTCAGCTTCACGATTTAATTACGTCTCGTGATACTTTATTTGTTTATTTATCAACGAATCGTTCTAATTTCCCCTATAGCTTGTCAATTTTTAAGTGCAAGTTTGAAACACATGCATTTTTGGTAAAAATAAGTGGAATTGAATTTGTGTTCGACAGTGGTCGCGCTATTAGAACTCTGAATTCAGAAATCGATATCTCGAAATCCATTAGAAATAATTAATTGTAGTTTGTTTCAAAAACTTTCTTAATATTTCTGCCATATTTTCTTGGTAGACAGTATGTGAAAAATCTTCATAAATAAAGAAGTTACACGATTGCTGAAAATTGCTATGCACTAAAAGTAAATGGATGGGTTTTTTAAAAAAAAATTAATGGCAAAAAACAAGCCAATCGAATTTTTCTTATTTAAACATCTTGTAAAAGATCCGAACTTCAAAATAAAAAAAAAGTTTCAATATCTAAAGTGGTTCTTGAATTATCGTGCGGTATATGTGTTAAAAAGCTGGGTTTTTAAATTATCGCGATTACTGACGTTTTCTCATAAAAAAATGGACACCCTAACAATATCCTTATAATTCCATTTCAGATGCTCAGAAATATATCTAATGATTGTATTTAGTTATCTTTTAAAAATAAGCAGTTTGCGACTGTGATTTTACTTTACTTGAAAGGGAAAGGCGTACCGAAGAAATGTGGCAACGCCGCAACAGCACACCGTCGCATTTCTATTAGTCCGACTTAATAAGATCCCTATGCGATTTTTCACACATGTAAATACCAACCCAAAAGTATGAGTTGCCAGCACAGTATGCTACTTTCAAATTCAATTTTTTAAAATTGTGTATTTCTCATAACTCAAAAACGAGTTCATATAAATTATTATTCAAAATGAACAATATGCTTCATTTTAAGGAGTTCTTTTAAAAGTCTCAAATAATGTTTTCTCTGAAATAATATGGGGAAACCTTATCAAGTTAAAAATGTCGTTTTAACAGAACGTCAACGGTTTCTTGTAGACGTATCTGTTTTAAAGAACTAAAGTGTTCTCGAATAGTTGAATTTAAATACTTTAAATAGTTTTTTTCTTTATTCTTTGTATTTTTTTGCTTCCGACGACGGAAAGAGATAACTTTCCGAAACGTTAAGCATTTTTTTTTCTTTGTTAGGCAAATTTGTATTACTGTAAACATAACTTCTGACAAGCAGCGTCCGTTTAGGTTTAACGCAGAAGTGTTTACAAAAAAATAATTATTTTATTTTGTAGATTTTCTTGCAGTGCAGTGGCAAAATACCCATAAAGGATTTTTTTGGAAAAATGGGGAAACCTTACTCATAATTTTTAAAATTTACATGTGACTTCCCATGTTCAAGTCGACGATGCAACACAAACTATAGAAATTTTCTTTAAAAAATACGTTCCATTAATTCTAAACATATCAAAGCCGGGTCTTACCTTGCTGTTTTTGCTGCTGTTGGATGGCCAGGTCAAAGTTGAGCACGGGAGCCAGGGCGGTGGGAGCGGTGGTCGCTTGGAGCGCGCACTGTTCCTGAGGGATTTGGTATTGGAACACGTGCCCGTGACCGGCCGCAGCAGCAGCGGCCGCCGCAGCTGCAGCTTGCTGCTGCGCCGCTTGTTGTTGCTTCCCGTGAAGCTCGCGTTCCACACGCTGAAACGAAATAGTTGTCTTATAACAGTCTACAGACAATTCTATTTCCGAAAACTCAATGTAATTCATAAGGAACCGTTAAGTGAGAGTCGGACTCGCACACCGAGCGAGGGTTCCGTACAAGCTTGTAGGTACATATTATATAGTTCCCTATACGGGGTGTCCCAGAAATAAGTGCAAGTATTTTAACTGGTAGTATAATTCAACCACAGAACACACCTATGAGATTTTTTTCGCGAAAAAAAAATTTGAAAATTCGAAATTTTTTGAAAAAATTTTTGGAATTTTTTTCTAGTTTTTGGCAACATAGGTATTAGATTAAATTTACAAGAAAGAAAATCCAGAAAAGATGGTTCTCAAAATTTCAGCAAAAAATCTTTTTTTTTTGAAATTTTCAAAGTAAAATAACTCTGTTATTTTGTTCTTGGATTTGAAAAATGATAAAGATATATTTCTTTTATCGAGATCTACCACCCCTTAAAATACTTGCACTAATTTCTGGGACACCCCCGTATAAAGAACGTATATGGAGTGATCAGATTAAAATGAGTCAAGTCCAATTTCCTATATTTTAAGATAATGGTCTTTATACGTTTATAAAATATTGTTTTTTTCCAGTAGAGAAATGAATCAAGTCATACTTCACGCATTAAGTAGCTATATTCTGTTCATTCGCTGGTTTTGGGAAATGCTGTCAACACGAACAGCAGAGGCTCAGATGGGCACCTGTAGCTGTTAAAACAACGCAAGGAACTCCACAAGGAGGAGTAACCTCCCCTTTGCTGTGGAGCTTGGTGGTAGATGAACTACTAGACGAATTAACTCTAGCGGGAATACACTGCATTGGGTATGCAGATGACATAGTCATGATCGCTCGGGGGAAACATGAAGGCACCTTGTGTGATATTATCCAAAGAGGACTCCGTATCACTGAGAGATGGTGTAGAACTGTCGGGCTGAGTATCAACTCAGACAAAACCGCGATAGTGCCATTCACCAGAAAGCGAAGTCTGAAAAACTTGAAAAGAATCCAACTAGATGGAAAGGAAATACTGCCAACACAGGAACCGAACTCCTGTGGAACAGGCATATTAAGAACACTACCAGCAAAGCCATAAAGGCTCTCATGATATGCAGAAGACTGGCCGGAAATAGATGGGGCTGCTCCCCTAACATTTTGCGCTGGATGTATACCATGATAGTAAGACCCATGATTACTTATGGAGCACTTGCCTGGTACACAAAACTAGAGTAACGGACGGCAAGGCTAAACCTATGCAAAGTCCAGAGACTAGCATGCGTTTGCATCACAGGAGCCATGAGAACCTGTCCAACAGCAGCAATGGAGGTCATTCTAGATCTAACACCACTGCACATTGTCATTGGTAGATATGCCAATGCGACAATGATTAGAATGGTCACTAACGAATTAGTACTGGGAGAATTGTCAGATCAGGGGCTTGGAACACCCTCATAAAGGAAATATCACTCCTGCAACTCCCAGTGGACGATATGCCAAGAACGTACAACTTTGAGAAACATATCAATGTAGTATTGAGCAATAAAATGGATTGGAAGAGCGAAACGCTTGCCCAGCAGTTAAAAGACCATACCATAACTTGGTATACTGATGCTTCCAAAACCAATACGGGAACAGGGATCGGAGTGGGCACTTACCCTAGTATCCTACAGGCAGAAATCTACGCTATCGAAAGATGCGTACAACTTATCTTAGATAGGAACTATCGGAAACAAGAAATAGCCATCTTGTCTGATAGTCAAGCAGCGTTAAAAGCGATCAACTTAGTATCAATCAATTCGAAATTGGTCAAAGAATGCATAGAGAAGCTGAATAAATTAGGCAAAGAAAACAAAGTCCTCCTACTCTGGGTGCCTGCTCACCAAGGGATAGAAGGCAATGAAAAAGCAAATAATCTAGCTAGGAAAGGAGCGAACACTCCACTAACTGGACCAGAACCGTTCTGCTTTCCAAGTGGTAACCAACTCAAGGCGGAACTCAAGAACTTGGAAGATTCCATCCGCAACCTGGAATGGAAATCTTGCAACGGTCTAAGACACTCGAAGAAGTTTCTGAGGGCTTATGATCAAGAAAAATCACAGATCTTCCTGGGTTTAAGTAAGAACAATCTTCGGATTGTCACGGGGTTTTAACAGGACACTGTCTCCTCAATGAACACCTCAGTAGATTGAAACTAAGAAGAAACGGCGAATGCAGATTCTGTGGGGAAGATGGGGAAACACCAGTACACCTCATCACTGAGTGTGCCGAGACGACAACCATTCGTGCCATGAATTTTGGTACGACTGATATTGGAGATGGAGAACTACCCTCTATAAAACCGTCCCAGATACTGGCTTTTGTCAAAGCCCTGGGACTGTATGATGAGTTACGACTCAAGAAAGGGGGACACAATGGATCTGTAAGGTCGCAGTGATTAACCCCCCTCCCACTCATTCTAAATTCTAAAAAATTCTATATCCTGTTCTGTTTGGTTTCTGAATATTCTGTTGATTCCTTTCAGAAGTGAAATGGATCAAGTCCACAAAATTTAACGCTGTGCGCGATTTTAACACACGTGCTAAAGGTTAGAGCTAAAAAAATATTTTTTGGTAAAATGGATGACAATGAAACAAAGTCTGGAACCATTTGCACCAAGTGAATCACATTATCAGCCATCTGAAAGGTCTGATTCTATCGATTCTGAAAGTATAGTTTGATTTATCATTATTTTCACTATTACTACATCAATAAGTTAGGCTGTTTATCTTACAATTACTTAGATATCCGACATGTTGTTGATCTAAATAAAACTGCAGGAGGAAGAAAAATCTTATCATTTCATATAGACGTAACGTAACACACTCTAAAAGGAAACACATGAAAGATCTTCTTCCCTTTATCCCGCCTATATACCCTAATTTTTATAAAAATTGAAGAAAACACTATTAATAGACAATGCGAAGTCAACAAATCCCTTAATGACAAAGAAGAATGTAACAATCGATGAACCAATTTATATCTAAAATTTCAAATATTTTCAGAGATAAAATGGTTCAAGTCCAAAAAAGTAAAACAAACATTCTTAAAAATGACCACAGTTGTATTTTGAGTTACTTTTAGTTTGCAAGTATACAATTTAAAATATAATAAAGCAGTGTGTTAAGTTTTCTTCTCCAGCTTGTTTTATTTTAAGTAAGTAACATAAAAAAACTTTTTAACTCTCATTTTCTCCATAATTATCTTCTAGGACTTGATCCACTTCACTTCTGAACTCCTCATATATCCTAATAGTTTTCCCTATACTTATAGTATAGTATAAGACTAAGTCAACGGAAAATACCCTATAAATTTTGATTCCCTTGAGAGAGTCGAAATATACGTTTTTGCGGCATAAACGGCCGTATCTTTTTTCACCTTAACTTAGAAGTTTGATTTGTTCACAGCTTCAAGAGACTGTAGACCCGAATAATATATAGTTTTAATTTCAACTTGACCCCTCCACGCGTTCCCGAGATAAAGAGTCTTAACAGACGGATGGACGGGAAGTGATCCTATAAACGTGTGTCCACACTGCTCGTGATCCTGCTCGCGCTCTTGCCTGTGATTGTGCTTGCGTTGCTTTCGCTTCCTGTTTATCGTGTTTCTCAAGATCTTTCGGCTCGCAAGCAGCGGCGTCCACATTGAAATGTAGCGCGTAAAACAAAGGAGACAAAGATTTAAAAAAGGCGGTGTTGGATGTCTAACAGACAGAATGTTTTTTAATAATTTTTATCGCATGTCCGCTACTGATTTTGAATGATTTATTAACTTAGTTGGCCCCCGTATAAAAAAAATACAACTCGAAGTGTATTTCGGTTACAGAAAAAGAAACAAACATCTCGCTCCAACTGTTTGCCATGTTTTTCGTGTTCCACGTGTCCGTTCGGCCTGCTCGCGAGCAATGTGCACGCACCTTAAAGTTTCCGTTTTTGTACGGTCGTAGTTTGGAGTACGGAACCCTAAAAAATGGTTTGTCAAAAGCTTGCAGTAGTGACTCACATGTAATTCCTCTAAAATCTGCTGTTTCTGGGTGTTGCCGTCCGGGTCGCTGCCGAACTGCTTCCGTTTTTTGATAAAGTCTATAAGGGTACTGTGAGGGTCTTCTTTGTTAAGGAACTCCATGGCCGCCGTGGCGTCCTCCTCGAAGTCGCTTAAGGGCGGCGTTCGTACTTGTTGGGCTTCGGCAGATGTTAACGCACCTGGAAATAGACATAACGTATAAATATACAAGTTAAATTTATTTGTACCATATTGTTATCAACTTGAATAAAATAGTTATTTATGTATTAAAGGAATAAAAACTCAAAATTTAAGTGAGGATGCAGTCAATAATCACCACACAGGCTAATAAAACTACTTTTTCAAATTTGTCAAGCTTTCGAGAATTTTATTCCCATATGTAATATACTGTTGCGGGCCGGTGTGGACTCGACCTAACCTCACAATATGGCCCGCCCTCGGATGACCTTAACATCGCATAGACACCGCAATGATTCATTCGTTCGAGAAGAATCGAGTCCCACTGGAATGGACGAGTACATACGAGAACATTCGAAAACCTTCTCTACGCACCTAACGATCTATGGACAATTCTAGAGTTCTTTACCTGCCGGTATAAAAACCGGCGGCCGTGGCCTACAGGGGGCAGTTATAAATATACAGTTGACGCGCTAAAATTCAAAATAAATTCTTAGTTATAAATCGTTTGTAAATAGTTCTATAAGTCTTTTATCGTTATTATTTTTGTTAATTAGTGTTAAATAAATAGTGTTTAAATAAATTGTGACTTTCTATCCACACGGAACCGACGAAAAAAACGTAACAATTGGTGTCAGGTGTGGCGTGTGTGATAAGAAAAATAAAAAGACTAACAATGGCTCCGAAGAAATTGTTGAAAGACTTGAAAGTGTCCCAACTGAAATCCATATTGGAAGAGAGAGAGTGCGAGACAGATGGAAAGAAAAGTATTTTGCAAACCAGACTGAGAGACGTTTTGAGGGAGGAAGGCGAGGATCCGGACACATTTTGCTTTGAGTTCGAAGGTGACCTTGACTCGTGCCTACAAAAATTAGAAGATAAAATGACGGAAAACTCTCAAAAATTAGAAGACAGTTTGAATGACAAATTACAGAAAATTCCCGGAGAATTGCAAGACAATTTAAACGGCAATTTGAATAATTTAGAAGATAAAATCAGTGATAAAATGATGAAAAATTCCCAGGATTTAATTAATATTTTAGAAGATAAGATCGCAGAAAATTCTAAAGATATACAGGCCAGCTTTAATAATAAAATACAGGATTTAGAAGAAAAGATAATAGATACACAAGATAAAATAACAGAGATTGAGGAAGATGTAAATAGAAAAATCGAAATTTTAAAACAAGAAATAGAAAAGGCCAATTCACCAAAATGTCAAGAAACATCGGAGGCACCGAAACTAGTCGAAAATAAGTATATCTCAAAGTCAGTTATTAAGCCTCCACAGTTTGACGGAAAAACCGCTTGGGCCAATTATTTTTGCCAGTTTGAGGCCGCTGCGAGAGCGAACGGATGGACAATCGCTGAAAAGGCTACCGCTTTGACTGTTGACTGCGAGGAGATGCGACTGATATCCTGCAGACACTGTCACCATCGGAACAGGGAGATTATCAGCAATTGGTACGACATTTAGAAATGAGGTACGGCCAAGCTCATTTGGAACATGTCTATCATTCACAGCTAAAAAATCGCATTCAAAAGTCAAATGAGTCTCTGCAGGAGTTTGAAGCCGACGTAGCCCGCCTGGTTCGCCTTGCGTATCCTGCTACGCCCGAGAATGTTATGGAGCGGTTGGCAGTACAGACATTCTCCGATGGCTTACGTGACAGGGAGACAAGGCAAGCGCTTCTTCTAGCCCACCCAACGCGCTTGGTGGATGCTTTAGCACGTGCCCTAGAATTTGAGGCCGCGAAACAGTTCTCGGTCTCTAGTGAGAGTACGGGCGGTCAACCAATGTTCCGACAAATCCGTGGAAAGCATTGTACGGAAAGTCATGGAGGAGTACATGGGCAAGAAAGGACCGACTTGTTGCTGGAATTGCGGCCAGGCAGGACACGTAAGAAGTCACTGTCAAGAAAAAGACGTGGACTCGGTTTCGCCAAGTGTCGAATCAAAGGGACACATATGGAGCAGTACCCAACAGGTTCCAACGAAAACTGTTCAAGTCGCATCGCTACAACACAAGTTCAACAGCATTTTTGTGGCTAGTTTCGTGGATGGAGAGTTACGGACCATGCTGTTGGATACGGGTGCGACCAAAACGATCATCAGGCCGGATATCCTTAAAACATCAAAAAGGATTAAAACAACACAATGGCGACTACGTACAGCTACAGGAAGCTGCGCTCTCATCCATGGAGAGGTAGATCTTAATTTTGTTATCGGAAGCACCTGTTTTAATCATCGAGTGTTAGTAGCAGACATCGAAGATGAACTTATTCTCGGAATGGACATCGTGACCACTAGAGGTTTTGAACTAAACCTCAAACAAGAAATTTTGAAAATAAATGAAGAAGAAGTGGTTCTACATCGAAAATGTGAGGAGACGCTTCGCGTGGTAGTAGCAGAAGATGTTTCGATCCCTGAGCGCTGTGAGATATTTTTGGATGGTCGCCTGGAAGGTAAAACGAATAATGGGAGTATTATTCTGTTGGAGCCAAGGAACCATGACAGCGAAATAGGACGAGGGGTCGCTGTTGGAAAACCCCTGCTACGAGCGAAGAAGTCTGTACCGGTAAGAGTAATGAACACGAATTATCATTCTGTATCCTTGAAGAAGGGAACCCTGTTAGGGTACTGTTGTTCGGCCTCCTCAGTCATTCGAAGCGTGGAAGCCTCCAAAGTTTCGATTTCAAAAATTCCGGACAAAATGGTTAAGGAGTTAGTAAACGTTAAGGGATTATTTCCCGAAGATAGTAGAAAATTGAGAAACCTGATAATCAAGTATCAAGATGTGTTTGATAAAGGAGAAGCAGGACATAGAGGTCGTACCAATTTAGTACAACATAAAATTGACACCGGAGATGCACGACCAATCAAACAAAATCCGAGTAGACTGCCGCTCGCCAAACGTGAAGAAGCTGACAAAATCCTTCGAGAAATGAAAGAAGAGGGTGTCATCGAACCATCTAACAGCCCGTGGACATCGCCGGTAGTACTAGTAAAGAAGAAAGACGGTACCACCAGGTTCTGTGTTGATTATCGGCAACTTAATAATGTTACCAAGAAGGATAGCTATCCCCTGCCGAGGATAGACGATACTCTAGACAGGCTGGCGGGGTCAACGATATTCTCTACGTTAGATCTGAAGAGTGGATATTGGCAAGTCACATGGCGCCGAAAGACAGAGAGAAGACAGCGTTCTCGGTGGGCACCGGACTGTGGCAATTTACCGTCATGCCTTTTGGATTGTGCAACGCGCCAGCTACCTTTGAGAGACTAATGGAGTCTGTGTTAAAGGGTCTATCCTGGACTACCTGTTTAGTGTACCTGGATGACATCATAGTGGTTGGGAAATCCTTTGACGATCATCTGAAGAATTTGGAAGAAGTTTTCAAGCGACTAGGGAGCTCTGGTTTGAAACTTGGGACATGTAGTCTCCTCCCAAGGAGTTGCGGTAGATCTACAGAAGACCAAGACAGTGGAAGAGTGGCCAATACCTAAAGATAAACATGAACTACGAAGCTTTTTGGGACTATGCACATATTATCGCCGCTATGTACAGGGTTTCGCCACCATCGCAAAACCATTGACCAGACTTACCGAAGGCGAGAGGCGTTTCTCTTGGGACTCAGATTCTGACGAGGCATTCCGAAAATTGAAGAAGGACCTGACTAGTGCGCCCATACTTAGCTACCCTCTTGGCAACGGAAACTTTATATTGGATATCGACGCTAGCAATGTTGCGTTAGGCGCTATTCTGTCTCAGATCCAGGATGGTCAAGAAAAAGTCATTGGATATTTTAGTAAGACCTTGTCAAAACCGGAAAGGAACTACTGTGTAACCAGACGAGAATTACTAGCAGTAGTTAAAGCAGTGGAACACTTCTACAAGTATCTCTATGGAAGAAAGTTCTTGTTAAGAACAGACCATGCTGCTTTGAAATGGGTGTTGCAGTTTAAGAATCCTGAAGGGCAGGTAGCTAGATGGATTGAACAATTACAAGAATTTGACTTCGACACAGAACATCGAGCTGGGGCAATCCATTGGAATGCCGACGCACTTTCCAGAAGACCTTGCGCTAAGGACTGTAAGCATTGTTCCCGAGCAGAAGAGAAAGAAGTGAAACTCCTAAGAACAACTGTGGTTAATGATAGTTGGCAACCCGAAGATCTTGCAAATGACCAAACCAGTGACCCAGAATTAGGTTTAGTAATTAACTGGAAAAACACAGGCCAAAGACCAACGTGGGAAGAAGTTTGCAGATATTCGCCGAACGTAAAGTCGTACTGGGCCCAGTGGAATTCCTTGGTAATAGATAACGGACTACTTCGCCGTGTGATCGAGAGACCGGAGGGACAAGAAGAGAGGCAGATCGTCATTCCAAAGAAGAGGGGTCCCAGAAGTCTTGGAGGAAGTTCACAATGGAACCAGCGGAGACATCTTGGTGTTACCAAGACACTTGGCAAGCTGCGTGAACGGTTCTACTGGGTGAACTGCAAAGAAGATGTGAGGGCCTGGTGTAAGAAATGTGACATTTGCGCAGCCATTAATGGGCCACAAAAGCGTGGTAAAGCCCCTATGCGCCAGTACAATGTTGGTAGTCCCTTCGAACGAATAGCGATCGACGTGGCTGGTCCTTTCCCGGAGACGAACGATGGCAACAAATACATTGTGGTAGTAATGGATTACTTCAGCAAATGGGTCGAGGCCTACGCGTTGCCAAATCAAGAAGCGTCCACGATTGCTGATGCCCTTGTTAAAGAATGGATCTGCAGGTTTGGTGTTCCCATGGAGCTTCATTCAGATCAGGGAAGAAACTTTGAGTCCAATCTGTTCCAAGGCGTCTGTGAAGTCCTGAACATCCGCAAGACCAGGACGACTGCTCTACATCCACAATCCGATGGGATGGTTGAACGCATGAACAGAACTATCAACCGTTATCTGGCCAAAGTAGTCTCTGACCACCAAAGAGACTGGGACAAATTTCTTCACCTGTTCCTGTTGGCCTACCGTTCATCCGTCCAAGAATCTACAGGGCAAACTCCAGCCAGCATCGTTATGGGACGGGAAGTGCGCCTACCCTGTGATCTGAAATTTGGTTGCCGACCGGGAGAAGAAGTCGCCGGAGAAGATTATGTCCACACACTACGTCAAAGGATGGACGACATTCATCAGAGAGTCCGCCTAAATATTCAAAGTGCTAGTGACCGAATGAAGGAACACTACGACATTCAAGCTGAGCATGGAGGATACCAACCAGGGAAGTTGGTGTGGCTATATAACCCGCAGAGACGTCGTGGGTTATCTCCGAAGCTACAATCCTCGTGGGAAGGGCCATACGAAGTCATGGATAGAATTAATGACGTCGTATACCGTATCAGAAAATTGCCAAAAGGAAAACCGAGGGTAGTCCATTTCAACCGTTTGAGCCCCTACCAAGGCGAAATAGAAGATCGTGCTGGGACCGTGAGAACCTGCAGCTTTGATCCCCCTGATTCGGAGATGTCCTTTGACGATTTCATGGCCCGATACAACAGCAGTGAGAAGGCTCGCTATGGTGTAACCAAAGAAGATCAACGAGACCTCTTTTCCGTGCCTCCTGATTATTCGCTCGCTCATTGTGTGGCTCGAGATTTGCGGATGTCCAGAGGAATCGCTGCGACGTTCAATGAGAAGTTTGGGCGTGTCGGAGAACTACGCCGACAGGATCCAGAGGTTGGAAGCGTCTTGAGGCTAACCGACAATGCACATGGTCAAGCAAGGCACATCTTCTACCTGGTCACCAAGGAATGGTCCCCGAGTAAGCCGACTTATCTCAATCTATGGAAGACCCTGATTGAACTGAGAGAAGCCCTGCTAAACAACAACATTGCACGATTAGCCATTCCGAAGCTGGCGTGTGGACTCGATGGTTTGAGTTGGCGTACAATCCGGAACATGATTGAAGTCTTGTTCAGATTTACGGGAATCGAGATCCTCGTTTGCTGCTACAACCCAAAGCTGAGATCGGGAGAGAAAACTGTAGACTGCTATTTCTACCAGACTTCGCAATGTACCAGGGGCCAGCTTTGCAAATACCTTCATTCACCGTATACATCTCGGGACGAGCATGTACCTAAGAAGGGGGCAGTGTTGCGGGCCGGTGTGACTCGACCTAACCTCACAATATGGCCCGCCCTCGGATGACCTTAACATCGCATAGACACCGCAATGATTCATTCGTTCTAGAAGAATCGAGTCCCACTGGAATGGACTAGTACATACGAGAACATTCGAAAACCTTGTCTACGCACCTAACGATCTATGGACAATTCTAGAGTTCTTTACCTGTCGGTATAAAAGCCGGCGGCGGTGGCCTACAGGGGGCAGTTATAAATATACAGTTGACGCGCTAAAATTCAAAATAAATACTTAGTTATAAATCGTTTGTAAATAGTTCTATAAGTCTTTTATCGTTATTATTTTTGTTAATTAGTGTTAAATAAATAGTGTTTAAATAAATTGTGACTTTCTATCCACACGGAACCGACGAAAAACGTAACAATACCAAATACCATGTGAATGCGATAAATTTTACATTGGTGAAACATTTAGACCCTTAAATGTTAGAATTAAAGAACATAAAGATTATTTAAGAAAGGGAGATTTTCACAAATTTAAGATTTGTCAGCATTCATGGGACACAGGGCACAGAGTAGATTTTGATAACGCCAACTATTTTTCTTCAAATTTTTAATTTAAACCAGGTTTCTTTGAGAAGAATGGACGCCTTCTTTAGGCTCTATTTATGTTTAGTGTAACGTAAAAAAATAACAAACCCACCGTCAAACATCGCCCCGGTAGATCGACTCTTCGCCAACAATTTCCTTCCCTTCTGCTGTTGCTGGGACTGTTCGTTGCCTTGTCGTGGCGTCGTCTGCTGCACTTGCTGCTTAGGGCTGACCTCTATCGGCGGACTGTTTAGGTCCACCTGCTGCACGATGCGCACAGCTTCAGGTACTTCCTGGAGAACCGCTGCAGACGAAAGAAAAAAGATTGTAAGAGGTATCGGTATGAAACAATGGGCTAAATACATTTTGCAGTACAGTCAGAGCTGCAAGCTTTCGAAAACAAGTTTTGATTTAAATAATTTTAATGACCTAAGTCATTTGCAATTCAATCAAAAGTTGTAGTAATTTCGGGTGAAACAGGAAGTTACAGGGGTGAGGCACTTTTGAGAAACACCCGAAATGAAATTTATAATAAAATAATTAAGTTTAAATATAGTAAAACAATGGATAATAGCAAATACCTACCGGTAGGGGGTGAGAAGAAGTTTCCAGGTGCGGCGATAGCTGGCGCCATGGATCCGGCCGGTAGAGAGGCGTCCCTCGTTCCCACCTGTCCAGGCAACATTGCCAAGTTGGTGGCCGCGGTCGAACCCTGTTGCCCGCTCAGCAGCATCGAGTGAGGATAATCCAGCAAGAGCTGGACGACGTTGGTATGTCCTCCTTTGGCAGCTTCGATAAGCATGGTCGAATTATCCTGAAAACCAAACTGTTTGATAAGTTGTGCAAGGGTAGGCGATACTGCATTGCTTATCGTTAAAGACAGCTATAAAGAAGACAAAACTATTTACATTTACATGTCGTAAATGTCAATGTAAGTTTTTTAAACATTTTTTCAATTGGAGTTTTATGAATGGAGTGTTGTGTTTCCCATTTAGTTAGATGTCTTTAGTTAAGGTACATTCAGGCTGAGAGCGTCGAGACGCTAGCGCAACGCCAAACGCGACGCTGTCTGCCTGAACGGCCTAATTTAAGTAAAGTGAATTGATTCCATTTCGACAGGCGGGCGCGACGCAAACGCGACGCGACGCTCTCAGCCTGAATGTACCTTTATCCTTATTATATTATATTATATAAAACACTCTATACTCTCTATAATATAATAATAATACCATGCTGCTCTTACTTTTGGGTCGGTATTTATATGTGTGGAATGTGTAAATAGCACAGGGATCTTATTAAGTCGGAGTGAGAGAAATGTGACGGTGTGCTGTTACGGCGTTGCCACATTTCTCATGTACGCTTTTCCAAAAAAAAATCACGATCGCAAACCGCTTATTTTTAAAAGATTTTTTTTTCAAAAAGATAACTAGATGAAATCGTTAGATATGTTTCTGAGCATCTGAAATGGAATTATAAGGATATCGTTATGGTGTCCATATTTTTTAGCAATTTTCAGCAATCGTGTAACTTTTTTATTTTAAAGATTTTCACAAACTGACGGTGAAGAAAATATAGCAGAAATATTAAGAAAGTTTTTGAGAAAAAAACTACAATCTATTATTTCTAATGGATTTCGAGATATCGATTTTTGAATTCAGAGTTCTAATAGCGCGACCACTGTCAAAGACCAACTCAATTTCACTTATTTTTACAAAAAGTGCAAGTGTTTCTAACTTGCACTTAAAAATTTAAAAGCTATAGAGAAAATTACAACGACTCGTTAATAAATAAAGAAATAAAGTGTCACGAGACGTAATTGAATCGTAAAGCTCCCTTCTCTAGAATTTTAAGTACAAATTGGGTCGAACGGTCGACCGTGACAAATCTGCTGTATCCCCTTCCACCTCTATTAGCAATGTGCACAGATTATCTCTTTATTTCATACGTTTGGCAACGTTTTTACTGTTCTCTCTTTGTTCAGTACGACATTATAAATGCACTGTACTCTTCTTATATAAGGAAATCTCGACCCAAGACTAACCTTTGCCAGCCCTTAGTATATGTTATATATTATAATATAACGCTTCTCTCTTACCTTCAATTTGTGGTTGGGATCGGCGTTGCTCTTGAGCAGGAGCTCGACGACGGCTAGGTGTCCCCCGGCGCACGCCAATGAGAGGGGCGTGTGGTCGTTATTGGTGGTCTGCTTGCGCACGTTCGCCCCTTTCTTAATGAGGAACTCGGCGGTGCACAAGTGACCGGCGCGACACGCCTTCATCAGAGGCGTGCGGCCGCCTTCGGATTCGTGCTCCAAATCTCCTCCGTACTATAGAAAAATAATAAGGCTAATTGAATTGTATATAGTATATCCCCGGATTGTCTTTACAAGGATTTTTTTTATTATTGGCATTTTGAGAAAATTGCATTCTTCATAAACTAATTATTGATTAATTAATTTAATTCCGTTTATATTTCTCTAAATTTCCATACCATTTTAGAGAAAATTAAGAAAAACATGAAAATGTGGTTGAATTTTTTCCTAAACCCTCCCCTACCGGAAATTCCCGGTTCTTTTGAGATATCAAAGAACCGGGACTCCAAATTATTAATTCCCGGTTCTTTCGGTACCTTCGGGACTCGGTAACAATAGCTAAAAAATTATTCTTTTATTACGTGAGAAAGTAGTGATGCTATTTCTCATTGTTCTTGCTAATGTTTATTAGCAATTATTGAAGTTTAAATATGTTATTAGTACAATGTGTTGTTCAATGTATTAGTTATCCAATGAAAATCACCTAACCAATATATTACTACAAACATATTAATGTTAAAATTAAACTTGTTTTAAATTTAAAAAAAAGTTGTAGAAATGTTTGAAATAGATAATAATATAAAAATATGTCATTATATATTTTTTCCGCATTTCTTCCCATCAGAAGATTTTCAGATACAGAAGAATTGTTACTTACACGAAATGTGAAAATATTCTGTTTTCAAGCAAATTTTTACTTGATGATTAATTTTTTTTATTTTATTTTATCGTGATCTCATATTTTCCTAAACACATATCTGTGAAACTATGGCGAGTGTCAAGACTATACCACAGACTATACTTTGCCTAGTTATAGACCACGACTATACAGCTACGTCAGTGGTCACGGGACGCGAGAACAAGGTCATATCAAGTGGCAGAAAAAGAACAAAGGATTTGACAAGGAGTAAAGCTACTAGTTTCCTTATGCTATTGTAAAACGTACACTCACCTGCAAAAGCAACTCCGACACGTCGGTGTGTCCGTTTTCGCACGCGTACGTCAGCGCCGTATCGTTGGTCTGCGTGACAGCGTTGACGTTCGCACCGTACTCCAACAGAAAGCGCACCAGGTCGATGTGGCCCTCCTGCGCGGCCTCCATCAGCGGCGTGGAGGCGCCCAGTTCGATGTCGGCGCCGCCCTTGATAAGGATGTCGGCCACTTCCATAAAACCGCCGCAACAGGCCAGCGTCAGCGCCGTCTCTTGGGTCTCGTCCGTCTGAGCGTTAATATTTGCACCTGGAATAAAAATAGAGTATGTAGAGGATGTTTGGAGGAAGGTTTGGTACAATAATACATTACAATGGCCCAAAGCCTCCGAGTGAAGCCCAACCTAACTTCCCTTACTTATAACTATTTGGTGTTTGTAAGAAGTAGTTTTTTGCAGATGATTTAATTGAGGGGTTCAGAAGTGAACTGGATCAAGTCCTTGAAAATAATTATGGAGAAAATGAGTACATAACGTTTAACGCCTTGGGAGTAGCAAGGTACAGCTTGCCATGCTAGAGCTGTTCGGTATACAAGGAAGGTAATGTGGCTAGCACTACGCTTCAACCGCCTATTATTACCTCAGGATTGTGAATCCCAAGTACTCATTTAAGGCTGAGTCTACCTAGGTGCCCAAACTATTTTTATTTTAATAAAAAAGTTGACTGATGAAATGCCGGCTATCGGATTCAAACCCACAACCCTGAGACTACATAAAGCTTTATTATATTTTTAATTGTATAATTGCAAACTAAAGTAACTCAAAATACATTTTTAAGAATGTTTGTTTATACTTTTTTGGACTTGAACCATTTTATCTATGAAAATTTTGAAATTTTATATATAAATTGATTCATCAGTACATTCTTCTTCGTCATTAAGGGATTTGTTGACTTCACATTGCTTATTAATAGTGTTTTCTTCGATTTTTATAAAAAATGTAGTATATAGGCGGAATAAAGAGAAGAAGATCTTACATGTGTTGCCTTTTAGAGTGCGTTACGTTACATATATATGAAATGATAAGATTTTTCTTCCTCGTACAGTTTTATTCAGATCAACATGTCAGATATATAAGTATTAGTAAAAAAAACAGCCTAACTTATTGATGTAGTAATAGTGAAAATAATGGTAACTCAAACCGTACTTTCAGAATCGATAGAATCAGACCTTTCAGATGGCTGATAATCTGATTCATTTGGTGCAAATGGTTCAGACTTTGTTTCATTGTCACCCATTTTATCAAAAAAATATTTTTTTAGCTCTAAACTTTAGCACGCGTGTTAAAATCGAGCACAGCGTTAAATTTTATGGACTTAATCCAGTTCACTCTGAAAGGCTGCTTAATGCGTGAAGTATTTTTATAGTAGAAAATTAGACTTGATCCATTTTCATTCTGACCACGCCAATTATCTTAGCAAGAGAGCGGAAAGAGCTGATATCGGTGACCAAAAGACTAGGACATCAAGCGCAAAAAGTGTTTAATGAGAAGAAAACGAAGTTTATGGAGTGGTCAGATAGTGACTTTGAGAAGGGAAGATCTACAAATAGATTCTGAGAGAGGGAAACGATACAAGTTTGAGGAAGTAGATACATTCACATATCTAGGAACCATATCTCTAAGGAAATCAAATGTAACTCAGGAAATTGTGGCAAGAATAATGGCAGGAAATAGATGTGTTGCGCAATAATAGTGTAGATGTGCACTACAGAAAATTATTAAGAGTAATAACATCTCCAGAAGTTTAAAAATCAGAATGTACCAAACAATGATGCTGTACCAATAGTGTTGTATGCATGTGAAACGTGGACGTTCAATGCAACGAAAGTTCAAGGCTTGAGATTTGGGAAAGATAAATATCAAGGAAGATTTTTGAAGTAAAGAAGATAGACAATGTATGGACCAGAAGAACAAATGAAGAATTAAAGCAACTATATCAAGCACCGAGTATAACCGAGTGGTTAATAAAAAAGTTCACACTATAAAAGTTTTAGAATTTGGTTATAGAAATTACCTTGTCCTAAAAGGAGATGTACCATTTCCTCGTGACCTTCCCGCGCCGCCTCCATCAAGGGCGTGTAGCCCTCGTCGTTCACTTCTTCGATGTTGGCCCCCCGTTCGATCAAGAGCATGGCGAGATCTACGTGGCCGCCGCAGGCCGCTAACGTTAGAGGCGACTCAAAGCTGTCCGTAGGCATATTCACCTAAAACAATAAAAATATAACATGAAAACAACTGCCAACATAACAAATTTCAGATTATATTATACATCGAAAAAATAAACCGAAAAGACAATCTACGATAATTTTGACGAGGTCAAGCCCTAGACGTCATTACTTGGCCCGTACTCTATTTTTTACTGGTACACTTACTACCGTGTGACTTTAAGAATGTTGTAATTTATTTTTATATTGAGTAAAAATGATTTTTAAATGGTGAGTTTAAAATTCGAGAAAAAATATTTTTTTGGAAATAGATTTGTGTATATGGTAAAGTTCTATCCTTTTTTAATCTTTTTATAATTAGCCTTAATTTTTGACATGGTTTATGTCAATTTTGACGTCTAGAGAATGACCTAGCCAAAATTATAATCGATTGTTATTTCCCAGCCGTCTATGACGCCGTTTTTATTTCGATCATACGGTATTGCATTGTGCAAAAAAAACTTATGGGTATTTATGTAATAACACTACATATGAAGGGTCCAGGAAAAAAGCATAAGCGCCATTTTGTTAATTTTACAAGAGAGCCTGGCTGGTGGTTTTAAGGTTCTTTAAGTATATGTATTTTTCAAAGGATTTAACAGCTTATTGCCCTGCAGATTTTATACATTTTGTAGGGATCAGTTACACCTACAACAATATTATAAAACCCTAAAATTTAGAAATTGACGCTTATCATGTTTTTCCCCTGGACCCTTCATATTATATTGATAGTAATTTGTTACTTAAGTACACATTAACAAATAACGCCAAACCATTTTACGTATATAAAAAATTTATTCTGTAAAAATAAACACCTACTACATAGCCAACTATCCCATATTGGTTTGGGGCTGTTCTTTTGTTGACGACCTTTTAAAAAGGCCTTTTATACCTTATTTATTATCATTAGAGTATAATATATTTTTTCTAGAAAGCCCAAAACAAAGCAAATAAAACAAAAAAAAATAATATACAGGGCATCCCATTTAAAAAACATAAATTTGAGATATGTTTCAAAAATGACGAGAAGTGACGAAAAATGAACTCATAAAATTAGTTCCCAGCGAAAAACTAATTACGCCACTGGATTCTATGTGAAAACTCTACGGTACACAGTTTTCACATTTTCGATAATTTAAAAGACAGCCAAGATACAAAGAAGGTCGAAAAATGCAAAATTTTCAAATTAAAAAGGCTAGGGCAAATCTGTGTGTTGCTTCTTTAGTTTGTGTGAAAACCGCATCTTTGTATCTCCACTCAAACGAAAAACACACGAAAATGAGATACCCTGTACTTTGTACTCTTTTTAACTTAAGTAATAACCTAAAAGTGACTAGATATTATCGAGTACAGCAACTTTTTATCGTTTCACTTTTACATGCACTAAAATTAAAAGAAATAGAAATGAATATCAAAATGTACATTTTGTACCTGCGCTCCCGAATCGAGAAGCAGCCTTGCGACCTCCACGTGACCGTCCATCGAGGCCTCCATCAGGGCGGTGTGCATTTCGTCCGTCTTGTGTTCCTGGTCGGCGCCCGCCTCCAGCAAGAAGCGGACCATGTCCAGGTGACCTACAATCATTTTTACTGGTTAGACACTATCAATAAGAAGCAAGCTTAGTAGACCAAGAAAACATGCTTTCGAATACGAAGTTTTGGTAAAAACTTGAATTTTTGATATAAGTTACTTTGAAAGATCTAAAAACGAATTGTGAAAGATTTTTTTAAATTCCCATTTTCAAGGATCTATAGTAGTGTTCAGTCTCCAAGTTGCTAGATTTTTTGAAAAGGATAGGACTGGAGCTGGAGAATGTAACCTACGAATAAAAAAGAAGACCACAAATCACAATAGATCTGAAAAGGTCACAGTGGATCAGGCAATAGATAACCACCTTGAAGAATCTATTGTAGAGTTCAGTCTCCAAGTTGCTAGACTTTTTGAAAAGGATAGGACTGGAGAATGTAACCTAAAAATCAAGAGGACCAGAAACCACAATAGATCTGAAAAGGTCACAGTGGATCAGGCCGATAGATAACCACCTTGAAGAATCTATTGTAGAGTTCAGTCTCCAAGTTGCTAGACTTTTTGAAAAGGATAGGACTGGAGAATGTAACCTAAAAATCAACAGGACCAGAAACCACAATAGATCTGAAAAGGTCACAGTGGATCAGGCCGATAGGACCTTGGACAATCTATTGTAGAGTTCAGTCTCCAAGTTGCTAGACTTTTTGAAAAGGATAAAACTGAAGAATGTGAGACAATTTCCAATGCACGTGATCAACTTTGATTGACAAGTGATGGCGACAGCGCTGCCAGTTTTTTTAAAGATTTTTACGTTTTATTTTTAATTTAATAATTAATATTTTAGTAAGTAATTTATTTATTAACAATAGTCACTAACACTCACAGTACCAATATTTAAATTTAAGGCAGCAGTTAGTTGATACAAATCAAAATAAGAAGAAATAACTTTGAAAGTGGTATAATGTGCTTACCAATCAAACTTACTTCTCTGACTGCAGTCAAGGGTAATATCGGTTCATGGGGGTCATGATGTTTTATTATATTGTCACGTTCTTGTTCAAAATAGTTTATCAGGAAAGATACAAGATCTTTGCTTCGACTGTTTAAATGCTTCGGCATATTTTCGACACACAATTTCAAGAAATACAATTAAAAAAAAGAAAATTTAGTACCTAAAAGAACTGTTTGGGCTTACAGGTACAATTTTAAAAAAAATACTATGAAAATAGGCAAAAAACGAGAATTGCTCTCAAAGATTCAACAACACGATATTATACAAAATTATGACTGACATTATGATAATTGTCAAATAATAACGACAACCTTGATGATCGTGGCGCAATGTGGCGATAATAAAAATCGCTTTAAACCAATTTTCGCAGCTTTAATCTAACTAAAATATCTGTTACAATCATTTGCTCTATGAAGTAAAATGAAGAGCCGCACTGTATCTTAAATTATACAACAAATTTAAACATTTTTGCCAAAATTACATTTAGTCAGGTTTATAGGCTTTAGTGTCAATTTCGATATGATTGATGACGTGCATAGGAAAATGTTTTGAGATTACCGTATATAAGGATCAGAAGAGGACCACAATAGATCTGAGAAGGTCGCAGTGGATCAGATCGATAGATAGCCACCTTGAAGAATCTATAAGCATTCTATTGATTCAATTACCTTTATAACAGGCGAGCGTTAGCGCGGATTCCTTGAATTCGTTGGAATGGGTGTTGATGCCGGCACCGTGCATCAGGAGGATCTTGGCGAGTCCAACATGTCCGGCACTGGCGGCTTCCATTAGTGGCGTGTGGCCGTTCTCGTTGTGGTCTTCCACGTGGGCGCCGTTTTCCAAAAGAAATTCGACAACCTGCAATGGAAAAAAAAGAGAATTTTATGTTGTTCATTGTTTTTTTAAGAGCTAGCAACGTTTTCGAGAAAGTATTTTAAGAAAGCTGGCTCTTTAATATATCTTTTGCTATGCTCTCTGGAACAGCGTGCGAGTGGTCTGACTGCCGATAGACGTTGCGTTCACTACTGCGCATTGAAAGAAGATCCTATATTTTTTTTATTTATTCCGTTAAATACTAGTATTGAATATAAATCAAACAAGTCTTCATAGCGCGGCGCGAAAACATTCAGCCTATAAAGCGAGAAGTCTAGAGTTCAACACCAGCTCGGGGTAACCTTTTTTTTTATTTAATTTTCGTTTATATTCTGATAGTAGAGTGTAGTGTTTTTTATAAAACATTACCACAGCGAACCGCAGCTTTTCATCGGAGAGCAGTCGTGGATAAGGTATTTCACTGGAAAGAAAATTAAGTAATAACAATAAACAAAGAAATAGATATTGGGCGCCAGGCATGTACAGAGAAAGAAAACACAGTTGTATATTACTTAAAACTAATGACTATATTTATTTAAGAGGACTGTGATGGTAAATAGCATTGTACAATTTTAATAATTATTATAGTGGTTATATGTCAAAGAAAGTGGTGTTAAGAGTTGTACTAAATATCTATGAAAATAATACCATTACAAGACGTAATGTAATGAAACCTAAGATCTAAATCATATTTTAAATATTAAATCGACATGAATGTTCTTAACAATCTAACCACTAAACATAGTCTGTGCGATATTACTTAAGATGTACATTATTGTTTAAGACTGAAAATTGACTGAAAACCAGAACCTAAATCTACACTTAGCTGTTCTTGAGGCAATCCTGTTTCAAACAGTAGCAGCGTGAGGTGGTCTCGCATCTCTGTACTGTCTGTCGGCAATCCTGTTGGCCAAAACAACAAAAGGGGCCAGAATGAGGACACCATGAATCACTACAGCCGTAGCTACTGACTAGGCTTAGAAATGGGAGCGAAGCAGCATGGGGCTTACGCTGTATCCATACTGTGACAATATGGGGACACTACCCGTACCTTGGAACACTACTAGGACCTTGGATAATGTCCGTAACTTGGACCATAACCTTGGACACAGTCCGTCCATAAGATAACGGTACAGGGGAACACTACCCGTACCTTGGATACTACTAGGACCTTGGATAATGCCCGTACCTTGTAAATAGTCCGTACCTTGGACCCTAAAAATACGAAACTCTTGTTTAAAATCAAACAAGGTCTAATAAACAAAATAAACCTACCTCGAATTACTTCCGAGGGCTCAATAATAAACAAAGAAACTGTCCTTTCTTCCATGTAACATTCTGGAGGAAAAAAGAAAAGGGACGCCAACGTGCCAGCAAAATACAAATACAAGTTAAGTTGGGACATCCAAAACTCTACCCTGTTGGTTTGAAATAGCAGCTGATTCAGATTAAACAGCAAGATTTAAATAATCACCGTTACTAAAAGCAGGGATGGTTAGTTTAGGCTACAGAGCGCTAAAAGCAAAAAATCAGTCGACAGCACAGAGAGTTGACAGAAGCGATGTTGACAGCGCCTCCACAGAGCGATAACAGGGTTGTGTCAAACGATAACAGGGTTGGCGACTAGGGAACATAAAAATTACGCCAAGTGCGTCAATTAAATTATCCGGCCTGAACGATAGGGAATCCGGTGATGATACGCCAGACATCATATATCATATACAAAGACATGTAACGAACTAAAAACGTTACAAGAGTTTAAATAATTTTTTTAATCACCAAAATTATTTAATACTTTACTATTAGAATATAAACAAAAATAAAATAAAAAAAAGTTTATCCCGAGCCGATATTGAACTCTGGACTTCTCGCTTTATAGGCTGAACGTTTTCGCGCCGCGCTATGAAGACTTGTTCGATTTATATTCAATGCTAGTATTTAAACAACTAAATAAAAATATAGGAACTTCTTTCAATGCGCAGTAGTGAACGCGACACATATCGGCAGCCAGACGGCCTACCCGCTGTTCCAGAGAGCACAGTAAAAGATATATCAGAGAACCAGATTTTGTTAAACTACTTGTTTTCCAGACGTTGCTAGCTGTCGTACTAAAAGGTAAGAACACTTACCTCAGTGTGGCCACCAGCACAAGCATACATCAAGGGAGTATTACCTAAAGAAGAAACAGATTTTAAATAATCTAAATATGGAGCTCCATATCATTAGATCATATTTTAATGTTTTAAAAGACCTATATCGTTTAATTACTTAATTTTGATAAACAGAATAACAAGACATTCTTGCATTTTTTTTTATTAAATATCTAATTCTCATGACAAAAAAACCAAAACACTTTCAACATTACATTCATCATTTTTTTTAAATACAGGGTGTCCCTTAAATATTTTAACATATACTACGTTTCGACCATTAGGGTTTTTGCGCCTAAATTTCTTGAAAAGTTTACATTTCTCTTGATATTTTCCGGGATATTGTAAACAAAACCTTATAGAGCTGTAGGGTCATTAAGCTCAACATTTCTTGTCAGTGTATCTAAGCCTTGGAATGTTGCTATCCTCTACATTACCCACACTCTGCATATTTGTGTGTTTATAAGCTCACAGTAATTTTACTTTTGTAATCAATAAATTAAAAAAATAATTTTAATTATTTAGTGGCATTACTAGTGATTTTAGAAAAACGCACTGTATTTATTAAAAACGAATAGTGAAGGATTTTTTAAATTCACCCCGAGAAGGGGTAAAATAAATAAAATTATTTTTTTCGAAATTTCGGAGAATTTCGAAAAAACGGTAAGGACTAGAAAAAAATTTCAAACAAAAATTGTTGGAGGCTCTACAATTTTTATTTGAATTTTTTTTACATAAATAAAAATGGTATCTATACTTTTTTTGTTCAAATCAAAATTAACCGAGATAGTGTGGCTAGAAGCTAGGGGACAGCTTTTATTGAAACATTTGGTTCAAAGTCCTTCCCGGTTCTCTAAAATTTGAAAAAAAAACTCTTTATATATATTTTTCACCCCTTCTCGGGGTGAATTTAAAAAAAAAATAATCGAAATTTATAATTTTACAAACAAACTGATTAAAAATGTTAAATGTATGAATTTTTCAGCAACTTATATAATTCTTTTTAAACTTCCACTATCACCCACTCGCTTCTGTCACCCTATCTCGATTAATTTTGATCTGTGCAAAAAAAATATAGAGATAATTTCTATGTAAAATTGACGCTTCACAACTTTTATTTGAACTATTTTTTTCTAGTTCTTACCGTTTCTCCGGAATTTCAAAAAAAATAATTTTATTTATTTATTTCACCCCTTCTGGGGGTAAATTTAAAAAATCTTTCAATTCGTTTTTAGATCTTTCAAAGTAACTCCTATCAAAAATTCAAGTTTTTACCAAAACTTCGTACTTAAAGGCCTATTTTCTTGAACTAATATTAAAAATGATAATTAGCACATGTCTATAGCGAACTAACTAAATTCGCACCCTAAAATACTTGCATTTATTTAAGAAACACCCTGTATGATTCAAGTATTTTATTTTTAGAAGAGATTGTTTATTGCAAACTACAATACTACAAAAATACTCTTCTAAAAATTGCTGTATTTACATTTATTTATAGTTAAAACAAGTTCTTTATAAACATTACATCAGATATGAACTTTATAAACATTACATCAGATATGAACTTACCAGATGTGGATTGGGCGTTGACATCAGCCCCATGATGAATTAATAACCTGACAATATCTAGATGACCGGCAGATGCAGCCTCCATGAGGGGGGTGCATTCTCCCTTGATGCCCCTATCTTCTACGTTCGCGTGCATTGCTAACAAAACCTGGAAAAAAATTAACAACTATGTAAATAGGATTATTCACAAAAACATATTTTTTTAAAAACACTACGTATATAATTTCTTTACCAAATTAACTGGAGATAATAACTTGAGCAAGCTTCTTTATATTATATTAATATTGGCTGTAGTTTGTTAGATCTTCTGTCAATTAGACAGTTGTCAATGTTATAACAGATGCCAAATATTTTTAGAATTTGAAGTTAAAGAATTTTGAAGTTAAATTCGTCAAACAACAGCAAACAACAGTAAATATCGACTGTCTAGAGATTAAAACTCGAAACAGTAATGAAAACTTTCTTCCGATATTTGTATAATATACTATTTTGTATACAACCACAACCATTAATTGAAATGTAAGTACAATATTTTTATTTTGAAAATGAAAAAATGTAAGATAGAATTCCTAAATGATTCCAAAATTTGTCATTTTTTGTTTTGACATGGTTTTGACGTAAAAACCTTCAAAAACTGTCAGTTTTGAATTTCCATCCAATTTTTAGGTTCGTTCCAACCCGCGTAAGAAACGGTTTCTTACAATAAGGAGTTTGGGCAGAATTTGAAAAGCGTTCCAACCGGATTTACTGTCGGTTAGTAAATCATTTGTTTTCTGTTCCATCTTAAATTGAAAACTGTTTGAAAACCGTCAGAAAGGTTTGCAAAATTTTCTCGTATCATTTATCGGACGCATGCGTATTACCGTTATAACCGCGCCATAACCTTTCAGCCATAACCAATAAAATAATAGCAAACTTACATCAAGCACAAGCATACATCAAGGGAGTATTACCTAAAGAAGAAACAGATTTTAAATAATCTAAATATGGAGCTCCATATCATTAGATCATATTTTAATGTTTTAAAAGACCTATATCGTTTAATTACTTAATTTTGATAAACAGAATAACAAGACATTCTTGCATTTTTTTTATTAAATATCTAATTCTCATGGCAAAAAAACCAAAACACTTTCAACATTACATTCATATTTTTTTTAAATACAGGGTGTCCCTTAAATATTTTAACATGTACTACGTTTCGACCATTAGGGTTTTTGCGCCTAAATTTCTTGAAAAGTTTACATTTCTCTTGATATTTTCCGGGATATTGTAAACAAAACCTTATAGAGCTATAAGGTCATTAACCTCAAAATTTCTTGTCAGTTTATCTAAGCCTTGGAATGTTGCTATCCCCTGCATTACCCACACTCTGCATATTTGTGTGTTTATAAGCTCAACATATTTTTTTAAAAACACTACGTATATAATTTCTTTACCAAATTAACTGGAGATAATAACTTGAGCAAGCTTCTTTATATTATATTAATATTGGCTGTAGTTTGTTAGACCTTCTGTCAATTAGACAGTTGTCAATGTTATAACAGATGCCAAATATTTTTAGAATTTGAAGTTAAAGAATTTTGAAGTTAAATTCGTCAAACAACAGCAAACAACAGTAAATATCGACTGTCTAGAGATTAAAACTCGAAACAGTAATGAAAACTTTCTTCCGATATTTGTATAATATACTATTTTGTATACAACCACAACCATTAATTGAAATGTAAGTACAATATTTTTATTTTGAAAATGAAAAAATGTAAGATAAAATTCCTAAATGATTCCAAAATTTGTCATTTTTTGTTTTGACATGGTTTTGACGTAAAAACCTTCAAAAACTGTCAGTTTTGAATTTCCAACCAATTTTTAGGTTCGTTCCAACCCGCGTAAGAAACGGTTTCTTACAATAAGGAGTTTGCGCAGAATTTGAAAAGCGTTCCAACCGGATTTACTGTCGGTTAGTAAATCATTTGTTTTCTGTTCCATCTTAAATTGAAAACTGTTTGAAAACTGTCAGAAAGGTTTGCAAAATTTTCTCGTATCATTTATCGGACGCATGCGTATTACCGTTATAACCGCGCCATAACCTTTCAGCCATAACCAATAAAATAATAGCAAACTTGATTATACTCGTATCTGTTTGAATAATTTAAACGGGCTGTTCAACTAATTAAAGACTTGTGAATAGATATCATAATTAAATCGCAATGAGTAACGAAGAGTATAGTAATGAGATTAGTGACGTGTCGTCCATGGAAAGTAGTGATGAGGAGGATTTAGAATTGCTACTAGATGAGCACAGAATTAATAATCAAAATTATTTAGGTAAAATAGACATTTTTGCACATAAATTTATCTAATATCTTATTGTGTTAATATTTTCAGAGGAAACCGTGCCTCAATATTCCAATGAAGTTTTCTTTGAACATTTTAGGCTTACAAGACAAAGTGCTAATCACGTACATAGCTGAAAGGTTTGAAATAAGCCAGCATTTTAATAGCCAAGTTGGCCAATATGGCAATATTCCTGCTTTGCATCAAGTAAAATATAAAATAACCATTTGCTGAAATTGGTATTTTCTTTAAAGATAATTACCTTGTTGAGCATTTTCCTAGTTCTTTCAGAGTCAACAACCTTGTTTACTCAATGTTGCCTTAGACGAATTTTAGGTTATGTTATTCTATTTAAAATTGACACTTGACAGACAAAATATTAAGCAGGTGTTCCAACCGTAGTTTCAAATTGGTCAGAAAACAATTCATTTTACGACATGCGCATTGGACAAGATTTGCAAATTGTTGCAAATCTGTTTATGATTCATGGTTGGAACGAACCTTTTGTAAAGCCAAAAATGCTGTCGGGAAGTGATATAGAATGTTCAACCATCGTTCAACGTCACGTCATATATTGTCGAATTCTATCAATCACTTGCCAACCAGATGAAAGAGATTGATGACATCATTAGGATTGTTCCACAACCCCGCTGAGAACCGTTCAGGAACGGTTCCGTTCATGCGCATAGGGCTAAAAGCGTTCCAACCTTGATGGGGATCGTTCTCGGAACGGATTCACTTTGCGTTCCAACCAATTTTCTGATCGTTATTAGAACGGTTTCGGAACCGTAATTTCGATACTTGCCAGTAAGTAGGAACTGTTTGTACTGACATGCGCAGTTAGTAAATTTTATTAGCTGATAGCTGATTGACATTTAGGCCGAGGCGTTTGCTTGTTTTGTTTTGTAGATTTGTTTGGAGTTTAATGGGTTTTAGTGTTTAGAATTCTTTCTATACTTATAAATTGTCTATTTATTTTAGCTAGAGTTTAACATTTTACAGTTCACAGTTTTCAACAAAAAAAAACGAATAGTAAACCAAGTGAAACTTACCAAAATTATGGTTTGTGTCCATTATTTATTAATTTAGGTAGTAATATACGACTTTTTACAGTTTCCACTGTTCTATACAATTAATAAGAATATCTGTGAAGAATATTATTAAGGGTTGTTTTGTTAACATCTTACATGAAACAAAAAGTGAGGTTATTTTAACCGGTGTTTTGACAAGAGAGATTAAAAACGGTTCCGAAACTGTTCCAACCGATTGTTAATCTAGAATCGTTCAAAAACAGTGCCGAATTAACGCATGCGGATAAGACTAGTCCTAATGATTTCCGAACGGTTCCAGAACCGTTCTAAAACTTGGGGTTGGAACAAACCTATTACGGTATTTCGCAAATTACTGCATATTCTTTTTAGTAATCGTCATTGTCATTTGATTTGGGGTTATAATTTTACTGACAGACATCGATCAATGTCAACATTGTCATTTGATTTGGGGTTATAATGTTACTGACAGACATCGATCAATGTCAAAATTAAAATTTGATTGTTGCTGTAAAACAAAATTCAATTTTTTTTATTGCAAAAATGCCTCAAAAGGTTTAACCAAAATGAACAAGAGCTTATTGCTATGAGCTTAAAAATATTTTTTCTCGAGAAAGAGACGCTGGTAGAACACTCTTGCCCGTGGACACTGCATACAGTGGTGGCGAAAAGTATGGAAACTTTTTACTTTTTAAAATATCACAGAAAATATTGCTATGCTTAAACTCTCAGGAATATAAATGAACAGCTTATCAGCAAATAAAAGTATTCCAAAAATTACACAGCGAAAAAAAATCTGTTTAGCAGTTTTTGTAGGAGAACAATAGATTTCTTGTGGCCAAAAGTATGGAAACCATAAATAAATACATTAAAATTATTTAGTTTAAGCTGATAAACGGTACGATTTGCTTCAGATAAATATAAACATCATGCCCAAGTCTAAATATTTCTCTACGGATTTAAAAAATAAAATAGTTGAATTATACAAGAGCGGTTATAAACAAATTCAAATAAGAAAAAATTTAAACATTTTAAAAGGCACCGTTTCGAAAATAATTCGTAAATTTAATAAAACAGGTAACGTTTCAACAGCTTTTAAGTCAGGAATACCAAGAAAGTTGTGCAACAGGACAATGAAAGTAATGAAGAGAATATCAATGGGAGATCCAAGAAAAACATCCACAGACATTTCTCGAGAAATGGGTGAAAGGGGAATATCGGTGTCTGCACGCACGGTGAGAAGAATGGCATGGGACTTTTTGGAAGAGTTGCGGTGAAGAAACCACTAATATCAAAGAAAAATAGGATGGCCCGCTTTAAATTTGCTCAAGATCATCTCACCTGGTCTTATCAGAAATGGAATATTGTACTGTTTAGCGACGAAAGCAAGTTTCAACTGTTTGGTAGTAACGGGAGACGTTATGTCCGAAGACCAAAAGGTACACGGTGCAGCCATAAGTACCAGATGCCTACAGTAAAACATGGGGGTGGGAGTATAATGGTATGGGGGTGTTTTTCTCGCTCAGGTGTTGGTCCTCTTGTTAAAATTGATGGGATAATGGACCGTTTTTTGTACAAAGATATATTGGAGAATAATATGCTGCCTCATGCTGATGAAGAAATGCCACTCAGATGGTTGTTCCAGCAAGACAATGATCCCAAGCACAAATCTCGGTTTGTTCAAAATTGGTTAAATGAACATAATGTTCCACTACTGGATTGGCCCTCACAGTCTCCGGATCTTAACCCCATAGAAAATTTA